TGCCGCACTCTTTTTTTCCGAAATCATACTCCAGTATTCCAAACAGCACAAACCAGTATGCTTTTATTAGGCACGTAATTCGTGTATGATTGAAAATATGTTGGCAACACAAGTTACTACGACTACGATCAGCTGGTGCAGTAGTTGCCATTTCGTCCAACGCTTGTATTTAACCTAACCTAAAAACGTCTTGTATAGTGTTTCAAAAAATCATTATTTGTATGCGTTATAGTAACAGTAGGAAAAATATTATGCGTATCGATAGTGCAAAAATCCATTTCGCAGACTAGTTACACAAATGACTATTTAAACATTAACGTGCTTGATATATTTTTAGAATGGAGTGAAAGTTTTAAAATGTTTGTCGCGGATATGGCTTTTTTAGTGCCCTCCCCCCATCACAAAATATACGTGGATATCTATTTAGGGGGTGAAACATATACAGCAAAGCAAAGTGTAGTTAAAAGATTCTGGTTTTTTTTGTATTTTTTTTATCACTAGATATGTTTGATGATTATGTAGTAAGATATGCCTTAACCAAGTTCCATAACACTTCTAAATACTTTTAAATAGTACTTTTAAATGTAAAAATGTTAAAAGGGTAATGAAAAATTTAATAACAAACTTAAAATGCAATACAAATTTGCTAAGATAACTTTTAAGTTTTGTATCTGCTAAGAACAGTTTTGCTGATAATTAAAAAGTATGACTGTTCATCAAATGAAACAGTTTTAACCTTTACAGCTGTCATTAATAGTTTTGACTTTAAGAATTATTTTGGAGAAAGAAGCATGTGCCCAAGCCGTATGTTTGCGACATCATAATCGTATTTCATGATAATATTAATTATAGTACAACTCACTGTTTTATTTTGACAGGCAAAAAACATGTAACTTGGCGGTTTAGTTAACCGAATTGTATTAATTTAATTCAAATTTGGCTCGAAATTTGGTACACCTGGATAGGTTATCACTAAAACTCACTAGGAAAATCGAATATGGTTTCATTTTTCCATTATTGATAAACGGAATTAGTTTTAAATCCACGTACCTAAATCCTAATTAAAACATGTTCAACGAGGAAAACTGGTATCATTGCGAACTCACTAACTACTTTAAAAGGGGTTTGCTGTTTATATGCTTTCGGATTATGTATAGTTATTAGTTTATCGACTAAACAATTAACAGATATTACAATTTTGTATTAAAAATGTATTATAATTACGTTAATAAAGCTGGAGGCTAATTGAATCAGTATTGTTTTATTTACATTAAACAATTTCACAGTACTAATGCTGTTAATATTTCAATCCTTTATGTTGAATTATTTTTATATGGCTTTTGGTCATCATTTATACAATTTTGTATAATTTATTACAGTTTCAATTATCAATTATCAATTGTTTAAGATTGGGGTTGAATTATACAAGTTCACACTTATATAAGCAAAATTCAACAACTGCATAAGCTCTACACAAATATCTCTTTTATTAACGTCTTTTTATAATCTTAAGGTGATTCTATAATGTAATTCTAAGGGGCATTCTAAAAACACAATTACGCTATGCTTACTGACGTTTACTGTCACTATAGCATTTAAACATAGAAAAGAAATACACCCTTGATTACTTAGTTAGTTAATATTAATCTTTTTAAGGATAAGAAATGTCTGATATAGGTACTAATGGACTACTAGGTACTAGGGTAAGGCAGAGTTTGAAGCTAATCTAGTAGTAAGTTAGGGAGCGAGCTGGTCTAGTGGTAGATTTTGTAGGTTCGATTCGCGACACACCCACAAAATATTTGGAACGATTTCCCAAAAAGCATTTGTTTTCATCCTTCTTTAAGAATACTACTGGCATGCCAGTAAAAGAAAATCCAGAAAAAATGTCAGAAAACGGACTCGTATTTTCTCCCATCAGCTTTTAAAACCCCCTTAATCGTAAGTGGAGGGAGTAATAATTATTTCGTGGGTAAAGGTGCAATAACTTAAAATGTCGTACTTTTTACAAAGTAGGCGTTGTATAATTTTGTTCAAGGCTGCATGGAGGATAACATATTAGTTTCAATCAAAATCTTTTTGAAAAAACCCATAGGAGAGAACATAGAATATTTACATACCAACTTTAGTCAAAATCAATTTACAGGTGTAGGTTTTAGCTCTCTAAACATCCACAAACAGAAATATTTTTTGAAAACCAAATTGTTAGGTTCAGGGGGAACCATCATGGATATTATTACCCAAAATGCAAACTAGAAAATTTTGACGAACCCAATACTTTCTCCATGTACTCTAAATAGGAGGAGAAACTAAAAAGCTAATAAAAACCCCATAACTAGCTATTACATAATATGTATTAACTATTTTAGTAGTACGAATTTTTTATCTTAAACCACACAAAACGTGACTGTAGCGCTCGCTAACAATACAACGTTGGAATCTATGACTCATAAATGTCCTGTCAGCTTGATCCGCGATTGGAGTTGTATTTTGTAGTCCATCACACTATATGGCCGCTTTGCGATGCACAGGATACTCAATTTCCATTGGCCGTTTGGTTCAACCATCAAATTTATCATGACATCGGTCGCATGAGAGAAATGAGTCATAGATTCAAGTTGATCTTTACTCATTGTAATAAAAATGTATGTTCTGTTTTGTCATATTTTTCTCCATCTTGTTCGTATATTAGAAAGAAAGAATGTATTTTAACCACTATTGACTTTTAATTTGAGATTAGATTAAACGACAGGGTGAAGCCAAAGTTTGAAATTGGGCAAAGCGAACAACTGTTACCGTTATTTAAAAGCATTACGTATTTCTTTGCAAACACAAGGATTATTTCATATGGATAAATTTGTTTCTACTTATTATCTTACTTCAAATTCGTCTCAGCCGTTACACTTAATCACGTGTGAAAAAGTAACTTTAGGTTTCATATACTTCACGTAATAAACATTTTAATTCTGTCCCCCCCCCCAAAAAAAAATAGGCATCTAAAATTTTTAAATAGAAACGTTTATAAAAAGTCAAACATTTGTTCCATCATGAAACAAAATTGCATTTATTAAGGTTGATTCTCACACATCAGTCATATCAGTCACGTCACAGTGAACCAAAATATTCTTTGATAGATTTTTATTGCGTTATCTACACTCATCCGGCGCAGGTCCGTCAGTCGCTCTGCCGGCGTCCGTCAGACAATTTCAGATATCGTCTCACCGATATTTTTGGATTGTTCGGACGCCTGAATGACGTATTTAATGTTAGAAAATAATGTTTTTTTATGGTTGTGTTTGTAGTTTAAGTACTGCTGGTAACAATAAAAAAAATGGACGATGAAAATCTGGCAGAATATTGTGTTTTAATTACAGTTTTGAATGTAACATCACTGTAAATAAAGTGATGGAAGACTGACTGAAACCAAATGACTGACAGTTTGACTGAAAAATTACAGATGCATCTGAGACTGGACTGTGACTGGACTGATATGTGTGAACGACCTTTAAAGAAAGTCCAAACCCACTTACCGTCATACCTGGACGTTATAGTGGTTCTTTTAAATCAGCCAACCCAATTAAATACAAAAATAATTTTTAAGTACCTAAAGATGTACATACTATATATCCATATAGAAAGTTTTGACTTTAACCATTTTAATTAAACCACATAATGTCAACTGAAATTAAAAATCTCATAATTAAAATCACGATAAAAATATTCTCAGTAAGGGTAATCCTAGATGGACGTAAACACAAGAATAATTTGTAAAATAAGAAGTCTCTCAGAGTGGAAGTTATTTGTGTTTTGCACAACAAAAGATTCATCTTGCGCAACGAAAAAGAAAGGATTTTTACTTGAAAATAATCAGAGCTCCGCGGAGGGATATCTTGCGAAGACATTTCTATTGTTTGAATGCAACGGGGGATTATTTCTTCTTCATTAACTGCAAGACTCTTACCTCATCCCACCCCTTGCACGGGGATAATCTTTTGATTACACTTTACTTAATTCTAAAAAGGGTTTTCAATAGATCAAGACATACTCTGATAGGAAAAACCATACTTTCCAATAGATCGACTAAATAAGTAAGTGAAGATTAAACAAATTACTGTATTTATTATTTTTCAGTTGAACAAGACAGATATATAAGATTCAATAATATAGATTGAATAAAGTAAGAGTTGGATTGGCACTTATTTTCTTCCACATTACCTAAAAATATATACTCTTTAATGTTTATTTATAAGCTTTGTAGTTCTGTTGTAGAGAAGCATACCTTCTTCACTTAATATTAAAATTGTAAAACAACTCTTGCGATATGAGAGCCTTTAGACACTGAACTTTTGAAGGTGTTTTGAGACCTTAGACAACAGATGTTACTAAACGCATGAATAACTTACCAAGATAATCATATACATTACTAAACAACTATAACACATGGGACCTCTACATCATCCTCTTGTACCCGACGCTGGAACTATCTTTAACAACAGTTTTTAACCCAATTAATAATTGAAGGTTCATTTCAGATAAAGCATTCAGTCTAATACCTCAGTTAGATTTGAAGCCTGTTAAATATCTCTAATGATACGATATGAAATGAAAATGAAAATCCTTCTTTATTGAAGCGACTTTAGGACCTGATGTTCCTTTCTTATAGTTGACCTCTAAATTTATGCACGAGTTTTTGATGTCACAACCAATTTTAACTAAATACATGTTTTCTTACTTCAGGGTATAGACTTAGCTTACACAATTATTTTTGGTGAGTATACCAGAGGTCAAAAGACTGTTTACAAATAACTCGAATGGTTGTAGGGTTAGTATGATAAAAAGATATATATTACAGTACAGAAAAATATCCTTAAAACTCTCTTCAGCTGATCTACGAAGGCAAAAAATCAATGATATTCTTTTGATTATTTTTAATTAATAGTATTTGATTTTTGATAAGACATACATTCTTAAATGCAGCTCTAGCTGCAAAATTTTAGAATGAAGATGGAAAATGCTTGCAGCACACTGTATCCTCTGTAGACATTCTTTCTTCTCGCTTTACAACCCATAGTACTCTTTGAAGAATTCGTTTCCCTCATTTACGTAGTCGTTGCGAGGTTCGAAAATCATGTAGTTAGGGTTGATGTATTTAAAATGCTCACCCCACTCCACTAGGTCAAACTTGGCATCGTACATGGGTAGGTCACATTCGGCTAAAAGAGAAAACAAGATCTTAAGTCAGCAATGTGAAGTTTTTGGAGGTAAAATTCACAAGATCACTAAGGAAAATATGAGTACTACACAATGCACAGGGATTCAAAACTTTCAAAAGAATATACAGTAGTAATAGTATAAAATATTAGCCCAAACAAAGCCCTGTTGTAAGCTATTTATTATTATAATGATTATTTTATTTAATTCAGGAGAAGTCAACTGGTTAGCATTTAGACTATAATAACCTGAAACCTTTTTGTTTATAGCCAAAGCCAAAGAGTGGTTTGTTATTGTGGATCTAAAACAATTAGTGTATCACTACTAGTGTAGGTAGCTTCAAATACAGAACAAAGAAAGTCCTTTAGTAAGGAATTTCTTAATGATACGAAATGTCCACATGCTATTCAAACCAATTAAATGTTTCAAATCCAACTTCTGAATTTTCAGCAAAGAAAGTAAACTAAACGTAAAATTATTAATTGTTATTCAAACAAGAGTATATGAAATAGTATATATGAGGAAAATAGGTTCTCACAGTCGCTTGGGGCAATGAAACTTATTAAGATGCTTGTGGTTGCTTTCTTCGTGTATGGCTTGGGAAGTCTGGGGGCTACGCCCCACCCGCGTCCTTCATATACTCGCCCGTCGTAGCCGATCAGGAAACTGCAACCCCGCAGATCTAGACCAGCATATTATATTGTAGTGCATCTTGCAAATAGTATTACCATTTATTAATACTATACACATAGTACACAATACCATTGACTAGTCAAAGACAATACACAATACATATACATAGTACACAGTACACATAGTATTAAGCATTTAGTGAAATTAATTTTGGGTCTATCAACGTTTCAGTCAGTTAATTTGGTTTGTACAACACATGTCTAAATTAGTTTCTGATCCAAAATCGCTGTTTTCGTTAATGATTCAGTGATAGAGTAGAAAAGCTGAACCAGATTAAAATTTATGGATTTTAGTTTTGATTATTGCATTTTCTCAAAGGTAAAATAAAAGTGTATGTATTTTTTTCAGAAGCAGCACTATTAACAGAGAGTAGGCCTAATACTTGTAAATAATTTACCACATAATTCTCTTCTAATTTTACTCCTTCCTCTTTTAATTATAGCCTACTTTTCATTCGAAGCTTTGTGTGATTACTTAAGTCAACTGCTATTGGACTTTTGTTTAAGGAGTTTTCCACCTGGGGGTTACTGGTTTAATCCTAACTGGAGTAAATTTTGGACCTAGATTTAATTTGGCATTGATAATTGATTTATGCTGTCTAACTAAAGGTTGACTGATAATAACAAGACTAAAATTGAGCGGAGTCATCAAGGGTATATATTATATTGTTTTTGTCATACTGCAGTAAAAACAGTCGTTTTTAATGCATGCGTTGCGGGTCTTAAGTAGCATTTTTACTGTTAAGGTTGTAAAAATCGCTTTTTAGCCTCTATGGAGTAAAAATCAGCTGTTGTCAACCCAGTTGTAAATTTATATTGTAAACGATTGCATGTATCAAAAATATGTATCGATTCGTGCTTCGTAATCATTTTAACCTACAGTCTACAGTCTCTTCCCATAACATTTTATCATTGCAGATACATTAATCCTAACTGGAGTAAATTTTCCCCGTGCGGTACCGGGATAGAATAGCACCGCAGCCTTCTCGGGCTTGTCGTAAGAGGCGACTAAAAGGGTGACCGACGAACTCACTGGGAGTCCCTGGGAGTGCCCCTGTTGTGTTGCAGGGGTTGATGTGTGCTCTGCACTGCCGATGGGTTTTATCAGTGGGTCGTGAGAAACCAGCCACTTCGGTCCTTGGTCAGGGAGTGCGGCATGGATGCAGAGGTCGGGCTCTGCATTGCGACGGGCGACCCCCGGCATGTCAGGTATCCGGTGCTGGGCAAACGGAGGTCGGGCCCCGGGGAACCGGGGTAGGGGTTTTTGGTCCCCGAGGGTATACCCGTTCCTGACTGATTCCGGGCCGCTCCTTGCCGCACGATGCGCTGGAGAAAACACGATGAGTTTTAATAAAAATCCTACAAACACATCATTGAATAGGAGCTCAAATGAGCAAAATGAAGCGTCTGAAGTGGAGCAGAACCCCTTTGATCGAAGCTCCAAGCTTAAGAGGTCGCCACCACCGAAAAACGTAAGGACATTTCCGCCACCTGCACCTTTCAAGTGCTCTACGTTCCCCCCGTTAGGATCCCTTTCGGCAAGTGGAGCTGGAAACGGTCCAGGACATGTTGGCGATGTAGATGTCGAACTGGCATTGCCGGGAACTGTTGTAGGGATGCCGAAGGAAACCTTCACAGCGACGTCGCGGTCGGAAAGCTCTGAGATTGTGCTTCTGCGTCAGGAATATCTTGACGCAGATAGTAACATTGAAACCCGGCTCCGTGACATGGAAAAGACGATTAAGGCTATGCTGGACACCTTCCGGACCCAGAGAGCCGTAAACCAAGTGGTAAAAAATGGAATGGCAAAACTAGAGGATGACCTTGGCTTCGTCTTTGCCTGCCGTCTGGTAAGCAAGGCGACCATGGAAAAGATTGCCGAAAAGGTGGTGTCCCTGCCCGATGAAAGAGCGCTGCCTTCTAAAGAACGTCGGAGGCCTTCCACATTGGAGAGTCCTCCAAAAAGAGAAGAAGGCGTCCAGACCAAAAAGACCACGGTAAAGGCCAAGGCGACTCAGACGGACCTCTCGTCTGCTGTGCCCAACGGTACGTCGTTTTCGGACGTAGCTGCATCTCGAGCGAGGCGCCAACTGGCACAGCAACCCACGACCCCTCTTCAGGGAAGTTCCCGAAAGGGGTCAGTGGTGGAGACACCTGGGGCTGTTTGGGAAAAACGCCTTTCCAAAAAGGAGAAGAGGCAATTGAGGCGGGCGGAGGTCGCCTCCATGAAAAATGAGGCAGTGAAGGCACAGCCAACTGGCGTGGCCCAAACTGGGCCCGGTTCGGTGCCTGCACCTAAAAGGTTGCGGCCAAAAAAGCCCAGGATGGAGGCAATCATTGTCAAACCCTCAGGGGGGAGATCTTTTGCCGAGGTCTTGGGTGCAATCAAGGCCAATGCTAAGCCAGAGCAGACCGATACGGTTGTACGGTCGATTAGACAAACCCGGGGCGGGGACGTTCTCCTTGAACTGGGTAGGTCGAAAGGCAAAGCAGCCTTTACTGCCGAACTGAAGGCAGCTGTCGAAGGCCAGGGCACCGTCCGTTCTCTTGAGCCAAAGACATCAGTCGAGGTTCGAGACATTGATTGTGTGTCGACGGAGGCTGATGTTGTGGAAGCCCTGAAGAAAGCTATCCCCGAGCTTGGTGGGCAAACGGATTTTCTGAAGGTGTGGCTCACAAAACCGAATAGGAGCCAGCAGCGGATGGCGGTCGCCGAAATGGCAGACGCACATGCCAATAAGGTGCTGGCATTCCAACATCTGAGAGTCGGCTGGGTCAACTGCAGGCTCAGACGGAGAGTGGAAGTAAAGAGGTGTTTTAAATGCCTCTGTTTCGGCCATTCCTCCCGAAACTGCAAGGGACCCGACCGAAGCAAGAACTGCCTTCGGTGCGGGGAGGTCGGTCACATCCGTAAGGACTGCCAAGTCGAGTCCTGTTTTCTTTGCAAAGAAAATGGGCTCGCTGAAAAACACTTGAAGCATATAGCTGGGTCTGGACAGTGCAGTGCATTTAAATCTGCACTACAAAAAGCGAAAGCCCTCCCACGAAGATAAGAATCCTTCAATGCAATCTTGAGCGATCCAGGACGGCTGACGCACTTCTATGTCAGTTTGCCCTAGAACACGATGTCGACGCGCTTTTAGTCAGCGAACAGTACCAGTACCGTGATAGGGACCCAGCTTTTTGGTTCCCTGATAGTCTTGGTACTGCTGCAATCTGGGCGCGTAATGCAGCTACAGTACAAGTACGGGGTCACGCGAAGGGCCGAGGTTTCGTTTGGGTTCGGTGCCGGGATGTCACTTACTTTAGTGTCTACCTCACTCCCAATGAGGCCATCCGTGACTTTCGTGAGAAGATAGACCGCCTGGAAGAGAGCGTGCGCAATACCACAGGACACGTCGTCGTGGGTGGGGATTTTAATGCTAGGGCTGTCGAGTGGGGAATGACCCTCACAAATTCCCGGGGCAAGTACATTCTGGACTTTGCTGCCAGAGCCGGACTCGTTGTCGTCAACGAGGGCAACACGCCAACTTTCCGGCGCCCTGGGATGCGGGGAACGATCCCAGACATTACCCTTGCATCTGAGTCTCTTTTGCCAAGGATCAGAGCCTGGAGAGTCCTGGAGGATTACACGGCCAGTGACCACCAGTACATAATTTTTGACGTCCTGGATGGTCATCAGAGACAAGTGGCAGCGTTTCATCAAGTGCCCGTTCGATGGAACATTAAAAAACTGGACGTGGCAAAATTCAATGGAGCCATCCTACGAAGAACGCCGGTGGTTCATCCTGCAACTGGCGTGCCTCACGCAGAGGCGTTAGTTACATCCACGATGAAACTGATTGTCTCGGCCTGCGATGAGTCTATGCCTCGCAGGAGATACCGGTGCAATAAGCGTCCTGTGTACTGGTGGACTGCCGAGATCGCGGAATTGCGTCGAGCGGCATTGAGGGCCAGAAGACTTGCTACCAGGGCTAGAGAACCCCTAGACAGACGGCGTAAGTCGGATGCTTATAGGGTGGCTAGGAGGTATCTTCGTCGAGCCATCAATCGGAGTAAACGCAGTTGCTGGGATAAATTAAGGGACGATGTTGATTCCAACCCGTGGGGCCTGGGTTACAAACTTGTAACCAAGAAACTTGGAACCCGCTCTCCACCTTCCGTCATGGACAGGTTCACTATGGAGAGGATAGTCGAGTCCCTTTTCCCGGCTCACGCGTTGCACCCACTGCGGGATTATGGAAGGGTGGACGACGTCCCACTTTTCAGCCCTGAAGAGCTGGTGGCGGCCGTCATATCCCTGAAGAACAACAAGGCTCCTGGTCCCGATGGGGTGCCCGGTGAAGTCCTCAAGAAGGTTTTGACTACCAACCCCTTGATCCTTTTGAGCATGTATAACGCCTGCCTGGTTGAAGGGGTTTTCCCCTTGTGCTGGAAGACAGCTAGGCTTGTGCTTGTTGGGAAGGGCAAGGGAGACCCAGATCTGCCATCCTCTTACAGACCTCTGTGTATGTTGGATACGGCTGGCAAAGTCCTCGAGAAAATGATCCGTTCCCGGCTAAATTCAGCCGTTGTCGCTGCGGGGGACCTCTCCCCTCGTCAGTATGGATTCAGGATGGGGCGATCAACGATTGATGCGATTGAAGAGGTGAAGCAAGCCGTGATGAGAGCTGAGGATTTTACCCACTACTCTCGCAGGGTTGTGCTGCTCGTAACGCTCGATGTGCGAAATGCATTTAATTCGGCGAGGTGGTGCGATATGCTGGATGCTCTGGAGAACACCTTCCACGTGCCGGCATACCTCATGCGCATCATAGAGGATTATCTCCGGTTTCGCCTCCTAACGTATGACACTGCGGAGGGCCCGCGGACGATGAGTGTCACTTCTGGTGCTGCCCAAGGTTCCATACTCGGCCCAGACCTCTGGAACGTCGCTTATGACAGCCTTCTGAGGTCTGAAATGCCTGAGGAAACAGTCTTGGTTGGGTACGCAGACGACGTTGCAGCTTTGATAGCTGCACGTAGCGTTGAGCTGGCTCAGCTAAAGCTAAACCGAGTTATGCGTACCATAAACGCATGGATGGCAGACCACGGTCTCTCGCTTGCTCTGAGCAAAACCGAGATCGTGATTTTGACAAAAAAACGGACTGACACCATCGTGCCGTTGAGGGTGGGAGCCGTCGAGGTTCAAACTGTTCGTTCTGCCAAGTATCTTGGGGTCATGGTAGACAGCAAGCTTAGCTGGCGGGATCAGATCTTCCGTACAGCGGACAAGGCCGCTAGGGTGGTTTCTTCTCTTAGCCGGTTGATGGCCAATGTCGGAGGGCCTCGGTCCAGTCGTAGAAGGCTGTTAATGTCTTCGGTCCAGTCCGTACTCTTGTACGGTGCGGAGGTGTGGGCAGACGCACTAAATAAGGAGGCATACAGGATGCGGCTCGCCCGAGTGCAGCGTCAGGCAGCACTGAGGGTAGCATCTGCCTACCGAACAGTGTCCGAGCCCGCCATCCTGGTGATTGCTGGAGTCATTCCCGTCAAACTTTTGGCGGCGGAGAGAAAGGCAATTTACCGGCGCCGTGGGGAGGACGAGGCACGATCAGAGGAACGCACCCGCACCTACCAGCTGTGGCAGGAGGGCTGGGAACAGGAGACACGGGGACTCTGGACCAGGCGACTGATACAGCAAGTCCAACCTTGGGTTGATCGGCGGTACGGAGAGGTGGACTTCTACCTCACCCAATTTCTGACGGGACACGGCTTTTTCCGGTCGTACCTGTTCAGGATGGGCAAAGCCGTGTCACCCGACTGCATATACTGCCCAGGCATTCTCGATGACGTGGAACATACATTTTTCCACTGCCAGCGCTGGGAAAGGCCCAGCCTGGACGCTCAACAATTAATAGGACTGCTGTCGGTGGACACGGTCATACCGATTATGACGGAGGGTGAGGACAATTGGACCTGTGTGTCACATTATATCCAGGGTATTCTCCGCGCTAAGAAGGTCGACCTTGACCGGGATGCGGTTGTAGGTCATTAAGAATCGAAATGCCAGAAACGGTGCGAGCCCTGAGGGCTTAGGTCACATGTTGGCCTGACTTGAAGTAATGTGACAAACAATTCCAGGTCTGTGTCCAACAGAGTAGAGGGGGTTTTTTAGTGAGTAGTCTGACAATTTTCAGGAGTCTCACACTACAGGCTGGCTACCTGTGTGCGTAAAAGCATTTTCCCTCCTCTCCCTAAAAAAAAAAAAAAACTGGAGTAAATTTTGGATCTAGATTTAATTTGGCATTGATAATTGATTTATGCTGTCTAACTAAAGGTTGACTGATAATAACAAGACTAGGGGTTTGACCATCTCCTAAACAAATATATAAAAATTTCAAAGGGAGTAAACACAAATAAAAAAGCATAAATATATTAAAAAATTGTTGATCTTGTCTATTTCATTAGTGGATGTATTAATCCAAAATTTATTTGAGAGATTGCAATGACCATTTTAAATACTTGTAAATTGCTAGTTATTCCAGAATTAAACTTTTTTGCAATTTCCTAATTTTAGCTTAGAAATAATTAATATAAATTTGGATTTACTTAGCTGCTATGTCGACATCCTTATCCTCATCTATCGCCTTGTTCTGCATCTTGCGCATGTCTCTGCAGCAGTGCAGCAGTCTCTTGCAGAGAGGGGTGTAAGTCAATGTGTAGAACACATTCGCAGCTCTTCTCTTGAGAAACTTCTCCTCAACAGGAGGTCTAGCTTGCCAAACTTCTCTAGTTACCACCTCCAGAACGGTCTCCTTGATGTCGGGTAGGTAGCCCATGGTGATGAGGTTTTGCTGAGGGCAACGTAAAGTAGTTAAAAAAAGTAGGCGTACCTACGTGTCGTTTGCTAGATACGTCAGTTTTGAAAGTTAGGTTAGGTTTAGATCCATCCTGATCCAATAATGTTGGTAAAACGGATTTGGAATTGGAGCTAAGTAAGAACGTCAGCAAAGATTTTTACTCTTATCTCTGGTATAAATTTGAGAGGACCAGTAAGATGTTAGTTTTCTCCTACAGTCACCTGACAAAGTGGGCTTTCTTGCACTGATTATTACAAGCAAAGTAGCTAATTGCTGCATTTACCTACTTTTGCCTCACTCTAGTATTCTAACCAAATAACTCAAAACAGTGTGCTTTTACTAGACACGTAATACGCGTACTCTTGAAAATTAGTTGGCAACTAACACTTAAAACCTAAAAACGTGTCGTATAGTGTTTAAACGACTAATTGTGTTTCTTACAGTTACCTGACAAAGTGGGTGTGCTTGCACATCAGTAATTTAATCATATAGCCAAGTAGCTAACATCTGTATTTACTTACTTTTGCTACATTCTTTTTTTCGAACCTTTTTCCACACTCCAGTATTTTAACTAACACAAAACAGTGTGCTTTTATTAGGCACGCAATGCGTGGGTGCTTGAAAATAAGTGGGAAAAACGTAAAACTAATGTATTTTCTATTCACATCCTGAACGTTGTCAACGAAGATGTATAAAAAATAGATAATATAAATTACCAATGATTTATAAAAAGGAAAACAACCGACATAAAGTGAAAGAGAACAAAATTTTGACTAATAGTAACTAAAAGTAATGAAATGAAAATATTTTCAACAAGTTAAAAAGTAATGAAACGCCGAGGATAATTCTAAGCTGAATCGAAGAGATACATAAAAAGATTTTATTCATTCTCCAATTTCCAAGACTTTAATCTGAATAATCTGTTTGATTTCATTTAGTTGACAACTTAAAATTATATCGCTTACCTTATGGCCATCATCTTCGTACCACGGAGGTTCCCCTTTTACAGTTTTTACTTTCGTGCTTCTTTTTGGCCATCCCATTGTGAAAAAACTAAGACTGAATCAGAACACTGCACTGATCCCAATGAACTACAAAGTAATAAGTCTTCAATAACGGCTATTTTGTTTTGATAAAACGGCTTAAACTAGATTGGAAATGAAAACAGATTGCTGTAACTAACAAGATAATCTTATCACAATGTTTATTGAATACTATTTGATATTTAATAAATAAAATTATATGACATTATGGAACTTAATTTTATATATTTCATTTAATTGATAAATGCCAAAATATAAATAAAAATTAAAAATAAAGTCACCACCTCTGTTGTTAAGCTATTGAAGTAATTTATTTTCTTTGTCTTACACAGATTTAATTTAATGTTAATATTGTTTTCATCGATTAGTAAGCTAAACAAAATATGAATAATTATAAACGTAAGCTATATGTAATATCATTTATGTATAAACTCTTACGAAACACAGGAAAACAAAAAATATTGGTATTTTGTTGCATCATGTCCTATGAAATCCATTTAGTTTTAAAATAATTAAAATTAAAATTACTGTTTGTAATAATATAATTTTACAATTCTGAGTTTAACTAATATTAATAAACCTGACCTAGGAGTCATATGGTGGCATATTTACATTAGGCCTATATTAAATACCAATTGAATAAATAAAATATTCCCATCCAAGCAACTCTGCTAATTTATTGTATTTTGTACCCAAAACAAATAAAAAATACGAACTTGTATCTATTCAGACCTAATCACAAAAAAAACAAAAAAAAAAAAACTATTGTGAGATACCAATTCCCCCTAAATTTATAGGAAAGGTTTTCTGGGACGGAATAGTTCACCTTTTCGAAGTTAAAAATGAGGTCTTCAGCCAAAGAGAGTCTTTCATTCAATTAATCTTTCCTCTCGAGGTTAGCAGCACTCTGGCTCGATCAATTCCCACAGCATTAAATTGATGTTCACTGTAAATCATTAATCTATTTTGGTTTTAGCTTTTGTACTATACATTAGAGTATAATCTGTATGAACTTTGTTTACCAAGTTGGACGTGGTTTATGATCAGTTATTTAATGATTTGAATATCTAAAAAATTCTCATGTCATGTTGGATGTAACTAAAAAGATTTGTTGATAAAACATTTTTATATGTTATTTCATATTAGTTGTATATTAAATCAGCATAATGTGTTATTAATTTCATGGAACGTAAATAGAAATACGTCTAGTAACACAAGAAACATATATTTACATTTTTACTGGTTTAAAAGAAGGTAAATACTATGGTAAAAGGTGGTAGTGGTGATTGATGTTGATTGGACACTCATCAATATACACAATCTGGAACTTTTATTCGCTCATAGTGTCTGATCTGATTATTTGAGTAGTTTTTCCCTTAGCATGATGACTCGAGCAAAGACCAGAATTTTATGAAATTAGATACAAATTGAAACTGTTGTTTATTCGGACGAGTTTGTGAGCCAGCATGATTGGAGTATGGACACAGGATTTGATCGGGGATTATGGGCTTAAATTGCAGAGCTAAAAAAACGACAATTTAGTATATTAAAGCCAAGTTGTATAGTATATCCATCAAATTGCTATGGGAAAAGTTCCTTAAAGCTGTAAATATAAATTCCCTATGTTATTTTCAAGAGAATAAACAAAACTGTCGTAGTTTGCTTGTTTATGAACATGTTCCGATCAACTTTACTTATTTCATTATAAGCTAATAATATTTCACATAAGATACACCTTATTACTTTCCATATGTAATATAAACAAACCTAATTACCCAACAATAACATAAATTAAAGAAAATAAATCCGGCAGTTTTTAAGAAAACACTTAAATAAAAATCCAATCAAGCAAAATTTAAATTTGCCTAGTCCGCAGGTTTGCTATGGTAGAGGTGTTTCTTTATATCATAATTTTGTTACCTACCCATTAATAAAAGCGTTGAGTTCTGTCTGTAGCACACTTATAATTTGTAATAACGTGCTATTCATATTGCTTTGATTAGAGGATTAACTAGATAATTAACACTCGTAACCACATCATATCATAGTTTTGATGAGGTTCTGTTAATTGGGTAAACCAGCAATATGAATCCCTGTATCTCATACATCCTAACATTAAATGCAGTAATACATGTGCAAGTTTTACGTTTTTAATCCATACCCAACGTTTAATTAATTTCATAAATTAATTACTGATTTTAAAGGTTATTTCGCTACAATATTCAAAGTTCAGGTGCAAAATAATATATTAATATGAACAATTTACTGTTTATTGGCGTTTTATAGACAAAATATTAAAGGTGGGTTTAATGATAAACTTGGTTAAAATTGTTGATCACCACACGCCAAAAATCAATTCTATTTGTTAACCGTACTTTTAATCGATACGAAGTTAAGTCGACGGCTAACAAAACTGGTAAATAAATACTATTGTAACTCTTAAATTTGCTTAAACAATTTCCTAAATATACCTATCTCTGTTTATTAAAAATAGCGAAAATTTTCAATAGCACGAATAATTTAGCTACGATCCCTTAAAACGGAAATCATTAATATAACATTAATATTTCCAATAACAATCGTTGAATATTTAAATCTGGTGAGGTGCTTGTAGCACATTGACTTTCTTCGATCGGCTAAGATAACTTCAAATAGATGAAATAGGTGAGGAAGTAAGAATGCAACAAAGATACGAACAGTATTAGATCTCATAGATAGGCAGACCTCAAAGATGAGACCATAAGCAGACCTCAAAGATGAGGTCATGAGTACACTTCAGAAATAAGAGCATAAGTATTCCACAGAGTTGAGAGCATAAATAGACCTCAGATATGAGGGCATATTATATAGACCTCAGAGACTAGATCATATGTATACCTCATAGATGAGAGTAAGTAGACGTCAGAGGTGAGGCCATGAATAGACCTCAGAGACGAGAGCATAATATGTAGACCTCAGTGAGATCATATATAGACCTCATAGATGAGAGCATAAGTAGATTTCGGAAGTGAAGGCATATGTAGACCTCAGAGATGAGGATATAAGTAGACCATACTATTGTGGAGGCAAGTACATGTCAAAACAAGAGGAAGAGGTATGCCTATTTAAGTAGATGCCAAAGCTAAGCACCTAAGTAGAAGACTGAGGCAAAGGCATATGTCAACATAGCTAAAACACCAGGGAACTAAAGAAGTAAGGAAGGTTCTATCTGTACCACTTTCTGAGAAGGCACGTCTCGCTTTTATTATTAGTAAGAAATGAATCTAGCTGAAAGAAGTTCCTTCCACAATTAAATCTGCTTGATTGCAAGTCGGCAAGGATGTAATACTTTATAAATCTACCTTATAAGTAGGTCTAATTAGCATTTATGGAAACAGTAATTACGTTAACAGTGTTTATTAAAGTCAAATTATATACACGGAAACTAATATATGTAAAAAAAAAAAAAAATTTTTGCAGTTCATTAGTTATGCCGGTTAAAAGTTCAGCTATTTATTAGATGTATAAATCTTGTATTACAATCCTTAGTACCAATCAACTTAATCCCCTTTTTCTGTCACCTAAGTGTAAAACTAACGAGAAAATAAAAACGATTTATATCCGTCTTTGAAATAGTTTTTCAATAGAGTTGACTAAACCAAAGTCAAAAGTAGCAAGTTCAATTTGTTTGTTTTTTGTCCCTAGGTGACCACAGAGTGTTTAAAGAGAGATCTTTTAATGTGTTCAAGTCTCGACTCATTAGTAAGAAGAATTGTTAAAGTTTATATGACTGTAAGAAACGTATTTCACTCAAAACTTTAAAACACAAAAGCTTCCTAACGCACCCATCTATTTTCCTGAAGTTTTATTTGACTTAAAATATAGTATGTTTTTTTCAAATACAAATATTAAATAAATAATATACAGATAATACTAATGTCACGTGGTTGTTAATCTGTCCATCTACAAAACGGCTTTTGCATAGCCGTAGTAATTGAAAATAATATGCTATTTCTTTAGTTGCCGTTTAAGCTGTCATTTACAGTATTCATTGCAAATATACCATGTCAATTTGTATGAAATGGCGAAAATCAGTAATAAGGATACAAGGACACTCACACGCTTCCAATTATACATTAAATATGGATTAATATGTAATCAGCTTCTTAGGATACTACAGCAAACATGTACAGTAAAAAAGAACCGCTTTTCAAACACAATTAAGATTTAAACTATTTTAATGAACTATGTTATATCATACCACAATGTATCAAACAAAATTCACGACTATGACTAATTGTCCCAAATATGTAATATATCTACCAAAGTATATAATTTATTTATTTTCTTTCCATTATAGTTATGAATATACTGTCACGAATTATTAATTTCTTTCCTACTACCAATTGCGAATGCTTAAGAAAAATTAAATTTAAAAACATAAAATAATATTTTGTAACAAAGAGAAAAATACTTGTTAACTCGAAACATCTTCGATTTTAAAGGGCAAGTTTTCCTGCTTCTAAAGTGACGATCCTACTAATCAGCAGTTTGCGGATAAGCTACTGTAAGGGTTTTTTAATCACACCCCAATTAAAAATCGCAAAGATTTTCATGTAATGTTCTGCTGATGAAACGTATTAAATTCCCTTCTCTTAAGGATTTAAGTATTATCATTCTGTCAGTAACAACAGTGAACTATTTAAAATTGTATGAATAATTGTATAAAAGTCACCTGATGAATAATCCAGAACATTTTTTAAGGAAGAAGATCCTGGTTGTTGGTAAGCTGGGAATGTTTTAGAAATTCACACGGTTAAAACGACAATTATTACAGAAATATAAGGTATACAAATTTAACATAGGAAGATGACTATACACATTTCTACACAAGAAGATAACTATATAAATTACATACATGGATATAACTTCACATAGGAAGACATTTATACGGTGAGTTTCATACAGGAAGACAACTATTGACATCTAATACAATGAAACACGCGAAGATATTTCATACAGGGAGATAAATGAATACATTTTACAGAGTAAGATAACTATTCACATTGCACTCACGAAGAAATATATATGAACATACAGATTTCATACAGAAAGACAACTACATACATTTCACACTCGAAGGCAAGTGTAGACATTATATGAAGTGAAACACCCATATACATTTCATGCAAGGAGTGCACCCATTTCGCTTTGGACATTTCATGCAGTGAGATAACTACACACTTTTCGAACAGTAAGATAACTTAACACATTTCACACATGAGGACAAGTATAACCACTACATGCAGTGAGACAGCAGAAGGATAACAATATATTTTATTCAGTGAGATAACAACTCACATTTCGCACAGGCATTCAAGTACACACATTTCGCGCGAGATACAACTACTAACATTTCCACACAGCAGCTGGTAATAAAGTGCTCCAGAAACGTGACCCAACTTTTCACTCCTTCGCTAATCGCTCCTACTTAATCAAGCACCTGTTTGGTAAACTTTGCACGTTTCCCCCAGTTCCCAGACGATTTATGTTTACCTACACAACTATAAAATGCATTTGCCTCAAGCTGTTTTAAATCTTTACTGGATTTATTGCTGACTCTATTTGCCTAATAACGCTAGGTATCTGAAATTTATATGGATGAAACGTTTGAATTAGCTCTAGAGCATTAGGATTCTATTATATGAGTATTTAATGAATCTTTGGAATGTAATATTCAAGTACTTAGGTGAATAAAAAAACGTAATTTTGAGACTAGAACTGTGATGAATGTACTGCATAAATACAGGGTTTTAAAATTAGGATCATAACAGTAGAATTGATCCTTGCCATGTTTCCAATCCCTATTTCATGTTGTTTTTCGTATAAAAAATACAATATAAAAACCAAGCAAAATTGTAAAAAAAAATGGAACATCCCTTATTACTACCAAACGTTGAATACTCGTTAACACACGAGTACTCATCCATACGAGTGCAGTTGTTTTAATGTTTAAATTTACATTTCGAACTATAAAATTTAAAATATAAAGGGCAACATTAAAATGTTTTGGTAAAATAAAAATGAGTGAGGTGAGATTTAAAGTTTTAAGTTAAGGTTTCAATTTTAAAATCTAAGATTTACATACCACTATGTATGGATGGTATGGATAGTTAAAGATAACTTTCTGTTATGAAATCATCATAAAAACTGTAGCTACAATAGGTCTAAAAAAATATCCTGTTTTAATGGAAATAAACCTTCTCACTTATACATTGGTTTCTTTCTGTTAAAAAAAACGAAGTAAAAAAATTACTTGTATACAATGTTTTACATTATAGCAGGGATTTTGAATAATTCATAATTTGTCTAATACTGCCTTTAGAATGTTAGGTTTTAATGTGGAGGTCCCAAAGTAATGTTTAAAAGTTAATAATAACTGGTTAAAACTTTGGGGCAACAAATATCACTGTCAAAGTTTCAATATCCAGCAACAAATTTCATCGGAGGTCCCAACTCTGAACTTTAGCACAGATGTTAACAATTAAACTGTCATTTCGAAACTGTATCTGTCACCTCCATTGTCATGTCCTGCAATTATTTGAGATTTTTATAAATTACTTAAATAATTGTTTTTCTTCAACCTATTCTCATAAAAAAACATTTTTTACCCGTATCTTATTTTATTACTACCAAAGACAATATTATTGTCTCTTTTTTGAAGAAGTTCTTTTCAAAAAGGTAATAAAGAAATAATAAAAATAATTAACACACATCCATGTTTTGACTACATTAAGTTTTATGTTTTAAGAAATGGCAATTTTTACAATTATGACGATTAAACGTAATTACATTTCAATAATGCAGGAAAATATCAATTTGTAAGATTATTATTCGGATAATTTCCCAAAAATATATTAAAATGAACAATACTTACTGAATAACTAATTTTTATTTTATTTTTAGACTTTTTCAACAATAATTTTTTGACTAAACTACGTTTTATTTCTACGTTTCTATGCTTAAAATACTGTAAATAGCTTATTTACTTGTCATAAATTATTAGAAACATTATTTATAACAATACTCATTTAGTTAAACCCTTACTCATAAAGGTTTGACATCCATTTAAACACATTTTTGTGAAGCAAAATTACATCTAATGATTGTAGAATACATTTAAAATTACTCTGTTATATTTTTCTCCGAGTTATCTAGTAATATAAAACCTCACAACTATATTAAAATACTACACAAAATATAAGTAAATATTAGAAATTTAGTTATTTTGAGAAATAAGCAATCTTAAATCGAATGCAATATGTTCGGCAAGTCTATTTTCGTAACGATTCCAGAAAAACTACTTTGATATATATGAAACTTGTGAGGCATCCAATCCAGCTTATTAAAGTAAGAACTCATCACGTTGTCGAAGCTGACTCAGAAGCCAATAAGATGATATCAATATCACGCTGATATCTGCACTGAAATTGGCTTGGCTGCTAATAATATTCTTTGTGCAGCTACATTTTATTCATAAGGAAATTTTCTACATTAATACCATAGTAAGTTTAGTAAACGTGCAGTATTAATACAAAGTACAATGTAGGCCTATTAATATACCATAAAGTAGTACAGTAGAACCTCGATAACAAAACTCTCATGGGCATAATAAAATAAGACTTATTATCAAGGTTGACTTCGCTTTGAGGTTGGAAATAACATTTGATAGAGGGTAAATTAATTCAATGGGAGTTGAAAATTACACTTGTTATCAAGGGTGACTTGTTATCGAGGGTCTTCTTATCGAAGTTTAGTTAAATTAATACTGTTACAATATAGTTAAATATAAGAATATAAGAGAAAATCGTATAAATCTTGGTCAAAAATATGAGGATAAAAGATTCATAAAATGAATTACTATTTTAGACATTGTTCTCTATTTTAAAAGTTTATCTTTTACATTGTAGGGTTTAAGGCTCCAGCTAGGATAGTAAATATCACTTTAGGGCCTATAAGGTTGCGGCATTATCAATTATATAAAATTTATTGGTGATTGGCGGGATTTGAACCCAAAACGTCGGGGCCGAAGCCTCACACTTTACCACTAGACAAGGTCACTCCGCAACATTATGATATTTACTTTAGGGTTGGTAATATGATAGTATTTTTGTTATGAAAAAATATTTCGAAATAAATAACACAAAAATGGATTTTTTAACTTCATAAATCAGAGCGCACAAGTTTGAAGCCCTGCATTTATCGAATTAAATATTACATTTGAAAAAAAGTGGAGAGAACAAAAAGAAATCCTTTTCCTTTATGTCGAGTATGCTCAATGTATTGTAAACTATTTTATCTTTGTATCCCCTCTTTGATGAAGTTTTAACAAAAATTACGCGTACGATACTAAGTATTGGTATGGAAAACATGATAAGTCTCACAGATAAAATTCCAATCATTTTAGAAGCAAAATACTCGCTACATTCGAATCATATGTTGGCCTAATGTGTTAAAACTTTAAGAAGTTCTTTTGTGATTAACTTTGAATATTACCGCTTGGGGTGTCAACTTTTATAAAATAAAAAAAAACAGTGACAATTATCTTTTTAATGTTAATATTCTCGTCTTTGCATTGTATTATATTTCCGGGCCATGCAAATAATGTAATAGTTAAACGCAGATGACGATTTTCAAATGCCTCCTTACAGAGATTTGTACCCCGATTTCCCAATCGTTCGCCGCCAACAATGGGGTGCTTGGGAGCCGAGGTTTTCCGGCAAAATGTGGTTCCCACTCAGTTATATACACACCAGCTATACAAACACAGCTACCTGTTTAAGACCCGACAACTGCAGAAAGGAGCTTCTGTTTCTACAGAGATTTCACATGAGAAACTGTCCTGACATCAAACACAAGTAAGCAATAATGTTTTAGTTTATACAAAGTAATGGTTCATGTTAAAGTATTGATAAGTATTATTTGTTGAAGTTTAAATAAATCCTCAGTATAAAAACACATAACATATTTTTAAAATCTAATTAGCTGTGGTCATAATGTGTATTTAATTTTTATACTAGGAATGAAGCTCAATTCGTTCTACTTCGGAACCAATGGTTTTGCTTTGCTTTTATAGCTTTGCCTTGCGAAGCATATTGAAGGCACATCATGCATCATATTTTGCTACTGTACTTCGTTATTATTGAACGTAATAATTGGAAGTATAGAGCAGTATGCTTTATTAAAATCTGAGAACATAGCTTATCCCATAATAATGTCTTCGTAAATATTTTATATTTTCTTAAACAATTTAAGGGATTAATTTGAAACCTCATGAATTAAGTTTAGTTTGCATTTCTATGATAATGATATCAGTATGCATATTAACACAGGAAGGAGATAGGTAAGGCACACCCTGTAGAAGGAAGATTGATGTGGAGTTGAAGATAGTATACGTAAAGTAGGCATTAAAGTGGAACCCAATTGGAGGCAGAGGAATGAGAAAACTAAGAAACAACGCTGATCGAAAAGTTGATTAAAAAGGAAATGGCAAAATCTGTAAAAGGGTTAATAGAAAAGATACCCACAGCGTGGATGAAACCGTTGGCGCCCTGTGTTGCAAGAGAAGTCAATGAAGTTAAGTTAGGTTAGTCAAAATACTTTGTACACACCCTTCATAAATTTGAATGAACCTGATTCAATTTTTTTTCAGTTTCTTAATCAGCAAATCAGGCAAGGTGTTTGAGGGGAGAGGGTGGTTAGCCAAGCCAAGTTTGCCAGGACGACACAGGGATATTCAATACACTAGCCTTTACATAGGCTTCATTGGCATGTTTAAAGGTGAGCATTGTGGCAAACTGAGCGAATTGTTTCCCGTTTTATTACTTGAATAACCTGTTAATCACGTGAGACAATTAATGTGACATCAAACGATACTTGCAAAGATAGCAAAACTGGTAATGTGTTGGGAAATATTTGAAATGGAAATAAGATACTAATTTTAGTACTTTCTTAAAAATATTTCTTAACAAAAAAAATATGGGTGATAAATGTTCTCAAAATTGTATAAGAAGCGGGCAAGTTCTGTACACGGTTTAAGGGATTTTTGTTCCAAGTAAGGCCGCTTTCATGAAACATTCCTGAGTTTAATTGAACACTTAGTATTTTGTATACTGAAAAAAATAATTTAATTTGATTTTAAATCCGTGTCTTACCTATTGATACATGCTTGCACTGTATCCTCTTTACTGCAACACTTTTTTCATATCACAGCATATTTTATTAAAACAAATCATTTTACCAAACTATCACGCGTTTTATACTAATTAAATTAAAAGCTAAACTAAGTTAAATAAAATTAAATAAATAAAGCCATGTGACCGTTTCAGATGAACTACCCAATGAAAAAATGATGGAAGCGAAAGAAGCTATTTTAAAACTTGGCATAAAACACAACTTTATAAGAAAAACCTTTTTGGAATTCGATTTGCAGGGAGAATCGCTGATTGAGAATGAGGGCCTCTACAGATACTATCAGTGATATCATAAGAAACTATTATCATAATCATTACTATAGTCAAGAAAGCTGTGATAGTTTAAGTTAATCTATTCAAAAGTTGTAACTACAATAAAGGAACACTGAGGTTAGTTAATAGTGGGACCTAAATAACAAGACCCTCCCTATCAAGTCTCCCTTAAAAGTGTCATTTTTAAATACCGTTGATTTGTATCACCCCTAATCACACATTATTACGAACCTCGATAAGAAGTCTACCTTGATAAAAGTCTTATTAAATTTTCTCTATGCGATATTTGCTATCGAGTTTCTACTGTAATGCACTTGGCTTATGCAATTTAAGATGTGTGCAATGCAGTTTCATTTAAGCACAAGGAATGGTTCCAACAATGTCAAATTAAATTGAGAGAGGGAGGGGGAGGGAGAGAGGGAGAGAGAAGGCTATCTGCTGGGATTGCTCTTGGGAAGACCCATTTTCAACCGGATCTGTGACACTCATACCTTCCCTCATTTCCGCCCTCAAATCTCCTCATTATCATTTCATTGCTTTTAACCATTTACCTAAATACGGTTTATAGTAAAGACTAGCGCGTTTAATTAAAGCAACATCGTGGTTCATTTTTGTTGATTCATTTATATCCATTAAATTGGTAAAATTTGTTCATGATAGATTTTACAGATTTTTGTAAAATGCTAAACCACAACTAGCTTATTTGTTTTAGTTTTCACTTATATTTTGATTTCTACTACACTTAAAATATTTAAATTTGACTATGGTGTTTACGGTAAAATTTGACTGTATCTCTATTTTAATAGTAAATTCAGTTTCATAAATTGTTGTACATCTCATTCAGTGTATTTAGGCCTACATTCTTGCTTTGTTGAATAGAGTCTAATTAATATTAGTAACCAAGAAATAATATATAAAAGTTTTAACCACTGTTCCATACACTTAGTTACTCTTTGAAACATTTTCCCCCAAGTTAAATTTATAAATTTAAATTATAAAATTATAAATTTTAAAATTGTATGCACGTTTATTACCTACAACTGTTAAACTCAACGCTTATTCTATTCCTAAGATTATAAGGATTTAAATTAGGTATAGTTTCATTGGAGGTTTATGTAAAATAGTATTTAATATTCCCTATATTCTAAATTGTAAGAATTTCGTCCGAATAAAAGTATTTTTTACCCCGTATTCAAGTAACCTGTCCAACGCTTCGTGCATATGGTCACCAGGCCTTTTATCTGAAACATAAGTTACTAAATACATAAAACAAATAGTTTTTATGTTTACAGCTTAAAACATTTTGGCAAAACGTCAATAACTATTTACTTGTGGATCACTTCCCGTTGCATCATATATACTTAGGTTGACTAACTACTCACGTAGGGATACATTGTAGGCTCACTACTTACAAAACCAAGTTCTATTGACAAATTTAAATGAGTTTTAACATATTTAACATTAATATGTTTAAGATTAATGTTATTGATATTGAATGTATCAAATACAAAATGAAACGATAATAAAAGTTTAAACAATAATTTCGGGTTTCTCTGCAAATTTTCTACCTAGATATAACAAAAAGTATGATGCTATAAAACACTTTTGAAAAAACTAAGCGATTTTTAAAGTAGATTTTCAAGGAACTATAATCAACACAAGTAATTAAAGAAGTTAACAGGAATGCTACGTATTGTGTTATATATTTTAGGAATTTGCAAACGTATACGAATTACTTACATAAACCATTATTGAATTATATATTTTAGGAATATATAAATAAGAAACACATTTTTACCTTCAAAAAATATTTTGCAACGTGATTAATTAAAAGTGTTAGGAACTACATTCACGATAGTTAAATATTTGTATTGTGTTAAAATGGCAAAAGAGTATTAATCAACTGATAATTTATTAAAATAGTGAATTCCTTTACATAACTAAATACTACGTAATACCTATATGAACCAATAAATCTTTAAAAAAACTAAGCCTCAGAGATTTTTATTAATTTTTATATTTGAATTTTGCTATATACTATGTAAATATCACCTATCACTCCTAGCTTAATTATTCAGGATAAGTTGTAACGAAATGATTTTTCGCCTTGGCTAATGCATTGAAATTAACTTTGAGTATCAGATTTTTATAAATAATACTCAAGCTAAGATCTTGTACGAGTTTTGTACTCACTCAGAAAGTGGCCATGGTAAGCAATCAGCAAGGAGGTGCAGGTGTAGTCGTTGTATTTCTTAGGAAGGGTTGGTCTACCGTACCACCCTCTACCTTCATATATCTTACCGTTGCCACCGATACAAAAGCTAAATTGAAACAAATTATATATTGTTTATTGATCAGTCTAGGATAAAAAATCATAAGAATCTTTAGTGATTACTCCTAATATCTTAGGGTTAGTGATGTTAAATTGAAAGCAAGTGTTGTACATAGAAAAGGCTTAAACAACGTTCTCTGCAAAAAGTGTCATGCAAAATAATAGCAAATTATCTAATACTAATACTAATTCTAAAACTAATACTAATTCTAATACTAATACTAATTCTAATTCTAATACTAACTACTGTACGAGTATGCCAAGGCACTGTACATCAAAACAATTAGAAATTGCGGAAAACTTATAGGTAGCAGAAACCCGATTCGACAAAAAAAACCAGTACTGTATGACCAATTTTACCCACGGTCCAATAAACACAATATTTCATTGGAATTTTCAAACTTGGTAAATATGAATGGTAATGATTGTAAAATGAAATCCACCCAGATTAAAAAATCTAAAACCTCGATATATGCATTTAACTATCAATTACACATATATGTCTTTTGTTACTGCATAGATTGTTATACTAAGGAAATTAGCGTAAGTTTAACTTATATAATATGAGAGGATCCTAAAATAGGATTTAAAATATTAGTAGTGCTTTTACCTAAGCTGTTATACTCTTTACTATCACTATTTCTTTCAATTATAACGTTGGAGTAAATCACCTGTATCTTATATCAGACACGCCTCTATTGTGGATATGCATCTGTTGGATTTTGCGCATGGCAAACACACACCACTCGTTGTTGGTACACGGGTTTTTCCCTGTATATGTGACGAAAACATGTGCAGCAGGTCCGTTCAGAAACACCCTGTTACGAGGAGGCTCCGCCCCCCACTCCACCCTTGTTACTATCTGTAGCTCCATCTATGCAACAGAACACCCATTTTACACCTACTATTGTTTCTTAGGAAATGTAATATATATGTAGCATGAGTACTGTAAATAATAATGAATTTTTTTGTAGAAATTCATTAGTTAAAAAGAACCGATTAGTAGGGAAGGACAGATGGACACAACATGTATCAATAATTTTAGAGAATAGGTCTTAAAATTAAAAATAACTCCAAGTAAAGTGTTAACACATATCCCATAGCTTAACAACATCCATTAACAACTCAAATATCATAAAATATCCAACAAACGTCTCCAAGAATATGACTAGACAAAATGTTTAGTCCTTAAGGAAACCTGGAATACATTGAAATTAACGTTCTTATTTTAGTTAGGGCTAGGAATTTTAGTTACGAAAGTAGACCATTTGAAGGTACTATTCTAGAGAAAGAATTAAGCCAGAATCTAGAATCCCGGTGCAACGTATGTTTATTTCGTTTAAGAAATGAGGAAATATACAATTTAAAAAATAAAATCCTTGTACAGGTGGAATTAGAAAAATATATGCCATAGAAGTCGAATGAAAAAACACTGCATAGTTGAAAGGGGTTTAGGTGATAGGCCTAATGGTTTTCTGGCATAAACTGCAATTTCAACCCAATAATAGAAAGATCAAGAGGAAGATATCTGCATATATGATTTAGTAACATAAGAAGGAAACATAATAGTATGATGGCATGTGGTATCAATTACCAAAACAAATTAGACCCCATTTCCTACAAGTCCTTACAATAAAGTCCACAGTAATAATTATAGGGAAATTCACTTATGGAAATATGTCTAACTGGAGGCTTAAATATAAGGCTGACACAACCAAGAACATGTGTTAAAAGTAGCTTTGATGCACTGTCACTGTTTCACAAAATCTTTCATAAACATACTACATAATATATATCCAAAAAGGTTTTACTAGTATTGCATTTGGTTGGTTCATGTTTAAACACAATTTTATTTTGATACTGACTAATATTCTTATCTCCGATGTGTTTTTATCATGTCATAAATTACAACACTAATTTGCTATCACATATTAAATTAACCTAATTTTCACACCATTTTATCAGTGAAACACCTCCCAAGATGAATGTGATCTGAACTTACTTAATTATAACATTTTTACCATATGATTCTTATATTCATTGTTTTTGCAAATTTTCCCAAACGTAAACAGCAATTATCCTTTAAATAAAACCTTGGATTAGTAAAAAAAATTTAATAAAATGTTTTTAAAGTAATACTATCTTAATTCACTTCAAACGTAGAAACTGAAATGAGATAAATTAAAACAATTATTCTAATTTTTTTTATAATACTGTACCTTGAATTTTTGTCCACTCTGATTAAGTAGGCCTTTATCAGACTCTTAATTTTAATTTTTCTCTGAACAAAAAATAATTGAAAGATAATCCAACGAGCAGGAAGACCTCCTTAATTGATGTTTGATGAAATGGAAAAATATTCGAAAGAATCTTTGTAAAACTTATCTGAAAATGCTACAATTTATTGAACTATCTTTAAATTAATATATTCGTATATTAATTAAATAAAACTTATGACAAAGACAGTATATACACAATTGGTAATATACAAAAGTATGTGAGTATTTACATGTTTTCCAGCTTATGTCATAACATTAATAAAACTATACTGAGTTCTGTACAATGAATTTACATTGTTATTTCGTTGCACTTTTTCTTTATATAACGATATTTGATTCCATAAAGCATGAACGTTAGCCTTGTGTCCAACATTTCATCTGGTGGTGGGTTTTCTGTAACATGAGAAATATTTTAATCAATGGTAATGTTATACTATACCATAAGTGTAGTAAAATTATACTTAAGATATTTTTCCAGTTCAATAAATGATATCAGTTTAAGTTTATACAAAAATGTGAGTTATTTTAGTTATAAACAAAATAAATTATGAAAAGATCAATGATTGTTGTAGAATTTGTTTTTTGGGCGAAGCGTTGTGTCTTAAAAGTTAATTGAGAACGATGCTAAAATGTTTGATCAAAATAAAATCACGTCCAAACAAATCTGAAAACTAATTTTCAGCAGCTTTATATCTTGTACTACTTTCAGTACGTGAAAGTCGAAATCTCGTATGTCAGTAACCTAGAGAAGTACGGTAAAATATTAATCATGAAAATATGGAGAACTATTCTTCTACAATTTAAAGTAACCCAAAGATACCTCTTGAGGACTTTATAGCAAAAATATGTAGCCTTCAAAGAGACCTTACTATAGTACTAAGGCCTAGGCAATCGGTTTCTTCGTAGCAGTTTTGCTTAAACAGCTATGGAATAATATCCTTACACTCAGGATGTAATTTAGAACTTATTTAATGACAAAATAGACCTATAACAAAAAACCAACCCCTTCAACTAAATCAATCTGACATTTGGTAACGTTTAGTTTATTGACTGGAATGTCTGGCTAAAGAGTTCTTAAAATCAGAAGGTGCCAGTTTGAACCTGATCAAAATAAAATCTGTTGGAGATGTCAACTGTAATTATACTACTATAATGGACTTACAAACGGTTGTTAGATAGTAACAAGACTAGATTTTGGTCCATCTCCAAAATTTATACGAAAATTGCTTCCTCCATGCATAGGGGGAGAGGGTAAAAATGGGAGAAAAACAAAAACGTACTTTTAAAGTATCCTAGGTATGCAACGTAGAGAGCGCAGCCCTGAAGGGGGATGAACCTTCTTGGTAAAGCAGGTCGCTTGTGCCACCCTCTGCCTTCGAACACGTTACCTCTAGGGCCTATCATGAAACTGAAAATCACATACACGAATAAAACCACAGTGACAATGATAAAAATAAATTAAGTGAACTAAAACCTTTTTGTAAAAATTTATAAAATTGACGAATAAGCCATTTGAGATACAATACCTATGAAATGTAAAGAATTTCTATGCAAATAATTCCTATGCACAATTTTGAACCCCAGACTATCTATTTTATTGTTATTCTAGTGCAACCGTTGTTCAACTATTAAGACTGCAGTGGCCGTGAGTTAATTGTAGTTCAATTACCTTTCTCTAAATGAGTTTTACATAGAAGAGTAAGTGAATTTTTATTTATGTAATAGAGTATGTGGCCTCTATTCAAAAAATAATGTTCACTCTTACACAGAGGACACACAGATTATACAACTTCACAATAAATCCTCTGAAGCAATTTCTTTTCAAGCTACAACTTTGAACAGATACTACAATATAAATCCGATTTTACATACACAGCCTAATAAAACTTGATTAAAACGTATGAATCGGGTGGGCATTAATTGCGCCAACTGATCTAAGTCAGGTAGTTGGGTATTCCTGAATTGCGCCAAACACTCCAGGGAGCCACCCGATACATCCATTAACTCCGCCAAGTGGCGGCTCTCTTTTATTATAATTGAGTAGGTTAGATTAAAATTAGGTTAGGATAGGTTGGGTTAGGATAGGTTAGAATGACACGTAAACAAGGACATTCTTTCTTACGGTAACTCACCCCTACCTAGCTTGGTCTTGGCGCAACTAGGGACATTTTTGGGCTCTTTTGAGGGCTTGGCGCAATTATGGAACTCTTTAGCGCAATTATGGAACTCTTTAGCGCAATTATTGCACGACCAATGTTTGAAAATATGAAAATCGAACAAATAAACTCACTTGTACCGGATATCCTCCACTTTCTCCATCTTCACTGTATCCAGTTTTGAAATACACTCCACATACTCATAGTCTGGTTTCATTTTCACCTTGCCTCTCTCCTTGACCTTGACGTAGGGGTTGAAGACGTAGGTAAACAAAACGTAGGTAACAGGGTGGAAGAGCCTTGGTAGATCTCTATTCACTCTCGTGTTACTCCAGGATATTCTCGGTATTATTCTGAGTCCCATCACGGCAAAGCTAATTCGGGAAATGCTCATACATATACTTCAAAATTTGCGGGTAATAGTCACTTGCGAACCAGACGCACCAGTAGACCACCAACCCCAGCAAGCTTGAAATTATCAGATCGGTTCTCATGGTAGGCCCTTTTAGTGAAAAATCACATCTATGAAAGATTGTTTGAGATATTAAGCACCATGGAATCTATAGTACATTGCAAGCAATCGACTAACAATTTTAAAACGTTTTTTTTAATTAAATTTTATTATTAGATGTTTATTTTTTCTATCCTCTTTAAATTAGATCCAAATCAATTAAATTGTTAAATATGCTATTAATAGTTAGTGTAGAGTAGGTGAACTCCGCATGGTCTGATATTCATAAGATAATAAATAGGTAAATTTTTAATAATTAGTTTACAAATTACGATAAGCATTAATTTTCGTCATGAAATTTTTAATTTTTGTTTTTTAACAGTATGCATAAACGACCAATGTGAATAAACCATAAGTTATTCATAAACAAAATGAGTTATTTAAACAAAAAATAGATTTCAGCGTTAAAAAGAAACACGGATTCATTCATTATCAGTTATCTGGCACACCTTGGTTATACTCTACTTACTCGTAGTATTTACTAGCTAAATATAGTATTAATTGTTAAAACAGGTTTGATATAACATCTGCTCTACAAACATGTTTAACTTAGCTACATCACACTTCACAGTTTGATTGCTTATCTAACTTCATAACTTAATATGTCGGAGATTACAAAGTCATTATTCACTGAATATTAAACTAACCCATCTCAAAAAAACTGTGCAATCTTGGAATCAGTGTACAATATTTTAAGCATATTGAATATTTTAATACATTTTTACAAATTAGTATCTTACAGGGAATTGCATTGTTCTGTGTTTAATTAATTTTATAGAGAAGTAGTAAAATATGCACAGAAGAATAATACAAAAACTTGTATGTAGTTGGTTAAGTTTTAACATACATAGTTCAAGGAGAGTGTTAGGCTGGTCTAGTGGTAGAAAGCGTGGCTTCAGCCTCCAAGACCCATGGTTCAATTCATGCCAATCACTATTGTCAACTACTTTAGCTATGAAATTTGATCGTCTCGGTCTAGCTTAAATCTATGTGTAAAACAGTTCTGGACCCTTAAGTCCTTGAATGTTAAGGGACATGATAAAGTACAAAAGTAAATGTGTTGCAGGTTTAAAATGAGTCAAAAACCGTCAAATATACCTTCGATTGGTTCTACAAATTATTCATTTAACCCCCTCTACCAGTTAATTATACTGTTTTATGATATGTCTCTTTTAGATAGCCTTAGTATTATTTAAACTACTAAACAATTTATGGCAGTGCAAATGGGCTGTTTAAAAAGCTATACCTGTATCATCCTACTAATATTATAAATGAGAAAGTTTGGATGTATGGATGTATGGATGTATGGATGTATGTTTGTGACAAGTGAACGCGAAAAATACTGGTCGGATTGGGCTGAAATTTGGCATGATGATAGCTCACATTCCCGATTAACATATAGGCATATTCTTATTTCAAAAATCCTTTCGGGCTCCGCCCCAGTGGCTCTGGAGTTTCCCATGTTAACCTTATGAGAAATGAAATTATTGAATCTTAACAGCTGTTTCAATTAAACAAGTTGGTTCTGTTCTGTGATGTTCAATAGCATTAAAGTTACAAAAATTACCAACAGGGTGCAGCACTATTATTTCTTTTACATTTATGACAACAGCTAATTTGCAACCAAAAGGTGAGTGAGCGTAGCGAACGAGCTCCAACCTAAAGGTGAGTGAGCGTAGCGAACAAACTTCAACCAGGACGTGATTGAGCCATGCGAACAAGATAATCTTGAAAATTAAGAAGTTAAACGGGGCAAAGCCCGCGGGTTACAGCTAGTATTTCATAAAGTTAATATTATTATGTAGATATTTTATTCAAAGCTTTTTTATGTTTTCTTTCAGTCGTAAAATAGACGTACACAACTAATAATCTAAAATTTGAAATAATTTTGGTTTTGAGTACAACATGATATATCAATAGAGTTATAGTGCTGCGTCATATCAAATATATTTTTACAAACTAATAAAAATATACATTGTTTATGAAACTTAACAGAACATATTTATTTTTTTGTAAACTAGCTTCTGTTTAGCTTCCATCTCAGTAAATATTATAAACACTTTCAAAATTGTTTGCGAAACACATATTTCAATCTTGCAAATGTCAGTTATAAGACTTGAGCAATATTTAAGTCTTCGAAATACATCTCTCTTGTCAAAAACATTGTTTTAAATCCTTTTTTGTTGGAATAATCGTGTAAGTAATTGAATTATATAACTATTGAACGATAATCCGAAGTAATAAACTCTTGTTTTACACAATATTGTAAAAATTCTTCTCTTGCTTCAAACATTTTGTCCGGTGGAGGTTCATCTGTAAAAATAAATAAAATAATTGTATTATAACTAAATTATTCAATAGAAAATTAATGATATGACGGTTTTACTTTACTTGCTCACTTGCACATTGTTTTTTATGGAATTGTCACAATTGAGTTTTAAATTTCTATTTTGTTCTAGTTTCCAATACTAAATTCACATTTTCTTTTTGGATCCATATTATGTATTTGTAGCTGGGTAATTGTACCAGGGAAAGATATTATGTGTACAGATAAATGTATTGTAATTTTTACTTATACATTTTATATCTGTATTTATATTTATATTGTCATCCATTCATCAAACTTTAATTTTATTTTGTTAAATTGTCTATTTATGTTGTTTTGGCAGTTTAGTTGTCTACTTGTATTGTTTTTGTTATTAAATTTATGTTATTGTTTGTGTTGTTAAATCGTCTTTCCATATTATTTTCGTTGTTAAATTGTCTATTTATATTTTTTTCTTATAGATCGTCTAAATAAAAATGTTTTTGTTGTTTAATTGCTACTATATTTATATTGTTGTTCACTTAAAATACTGGTATACTGTATTACGTCCTTAATAAATCTTTGTATTATTAACTTGACCAAGCAAAGCACTAAGCAGTATTGTTATATTGTATTTATCTTATTATTATTATAAATTAATATTATACATTCTATTATAAACCAACAATTTCATTCCACTGTTGCAAAATGACATTTGCCGTAGGTTATAACTTTATATAATGCCTACGTGTTATAAATCATTATTAAGGGTTTTTTTTAATAGCCTAATTGTAGCTTGTTTAAATAATATTACGAATAAAGTCTCCATAATAATGAAGAAGATTGCATTTACTGTACAGAACCGGTAATTTGGCTAAAGTGTAAAAACAGAATCTAAAAAATGTATAATTAAGTTGGTGTTTAAAACTAATTCTGTATTACTGGATATGCTAATACAATTCTTATAAGTAAATAATTTGGCTATAGCCACCCTTCGATTTATAAACAAATATATGTAACTAAAGAGCTAGTTCCTTTTTATATATTGAAAAATGTAATTTTAAAGATAGAATTATATGAAAAAAACAATTAATTTACGATAAAACTATCGTACGTACCAGAGAAGGTCCCTAGAGCGACTATGAGGAGACTACATCTTTCAAGATATTTGTACTTCATCGGTAATGACGGCGTTAATGATGCACCCCTGCCTTCGTATATTCTCCCATCTTCATCTATTAGAAAACTGAAAAGATAATGAAAACGGTCTGATTATTACAACAGAAGTTTTATTGATAATTCTTTTAGACTGTTTTTTTTTTCGTAAATTGGCTTATTGCTAGGTGTGAAAATCTTTGTAAGTAAATGTAAAGTAATGACCAGTGTAAATCATTGATGTAGACAAGTGCCAAGAAATAGGGAAACTGTTGTATAGCAAAACATTAAATATCCTAATTTGGTGTAATTTAACAGTGCTATATGCGTACACCGTTGAAACAGTAAAAAATTTGTGTAAATTCTATCAGTCAAAAGGTGTTAATGCTAATAAAACAGCTTTCATAAATCCTATCAACATAAAAAAAATTGACTTTCACAAGTCTAGCGAACTATTAAAGAAATAATTCTTAGTTTTTTTTTTTTTATGAAAGTGTTTCTAAGGAGGTTCAATTCCTCTTTAGGATTACATGTTGGCTGTCGTACAATTGAACAGAAGGTATAAACCAATATGATTCGTATTTAGTCTCAAAGTTGCTAAGACCAGCCCATAAACTAAAACTAAAAATGTCTTACCACAAATAAAATAGTCTCATGTAATGTTGCCCAAGTAGATCAATCTACATTGAAAATATGTTAACATGGAAATGGGTATCATATTACTTAAAAATACAAATTAATTAATTTATTAAATTAACTTAAAAATGTCAAATAAGTCATTAGTTAACTTGGTGTCTTGACGAGACAAGTAGCCCCTTTTCTTCTTTTTTTTAAGAAAATTGAAGATAGTCAATAACTTTCCAAAGAGGAAAACACAAAAAAAGAAGCTGAAAATGTTTTGCAACTAATGCTATTCTATCTAATTAACCATATCCTCATCTAATACTAGGCCGCGGGGTTGGTGGCAACGTCGCACTGGGCAGCCCATCATTGCCATGGCAAAACAGTAAAAAAAAAACAAACTTGTAAACATAGACATTGGGCAAAAACTCCCATTATGAATTAGTGCAACAGCTGTTTCGGGTAGACTTCCGTATCTGTTGGCACGAAAAACCGAATGAAAATATCAATTATTCGATTGTTTCATTCGATATATCGTTTGGTTAGTTAGGTTAGGTTTACCTTACCTAACTAATTAAACGATATATCGAACAATCGATATATCGATCGATATTTTCATTCGGTTGTTTGTGCCAACAGGTACGGAAGTCTACCTGCTGTTTCAGTAGGCCTGGGCTGCGGCGTTGCCACTTTTGACTCACCACGGCCTTGTCTTAGAGGAGGCTTTGACTAAACCCGTTCAGCATCTTAAAAGACAAACCTGTAGGAAAGATCTGAATGTTTCTTTATTCTAATGTGTTTGACCTGTTCCCGTCTAAGGTAATGAAGGCAATCGTAACCACTACATGGTTCTTGTCTTGAATACGACATAAACACGTTGTTCGGTATTTCTCTCAGCTGAATTGGGTTTAGGGGCTCCAACGCCTCCCAGGCACTCCTACTGATGATCTCCAGCATCTGACTGGGCAGAGGAAAAGAGTTTGATTGGATAAATACAATTAATGTATGACCTTTCAGCTTATAATAAGGTTACGTGTCTTTTGTTCGTCCACAGTCTTTTAATTCGTCTGAAGTATGACAAAAGGTACGTAACCTATCATAACATTCTTAATATCAATCTTGCTGGCAAAAATGTGTAAACCTATAATGTAGAGTCAGTTTATATTGCCTGAAGATTTGTAATTTTATTACTTTAAAGGTAAGCTCACAAATTCAGGTGGGTTAAAAAATCTGGTCAGAGTTTCATCATAATATAGCGAATAGTTCATTGAACGAGTGATGGGATTTAGGTACCTTAAGGACAAAAGTCTAACGGTCTAAATACTTGACCAAGCCAACAGTATGCCTAAGAATAGAATGTTAAGGATTCTCGCCAAAGAATAAAAGTGGTTTAGCATTTTAAATTGAAATACAGGATTGTCATAAAAAAAAATCTTCTGGACTGCCTCTCTTAAATAATTTAGAAGATAAAATATATCTAGAATATACAAATAGTCTCTTAATATTAAGGTATTTAAACTGCCTTGATTGTAAAGATTTAGGATGGGCACATTAGGATCAGCTATAAGTATGGGGAAATGTGTTTATTGTCTTTATAAACAACAAAAATGCATGCTTGAATATTAGTATACAATAAATACGGTAAATTATAAGTTTGTTGTTTCGTAATTCGTTTAACAAAGTGACTTGTTAAGGAATCAATTAGTACATATAACAATAATATATTCATTGTAGCTATTATTTACACTTTGGAATCACAGTACAACATTTTAAACATTTAGTTATTATATTACATAGATTTAAGGAAACATAATGCTGTTGGAGGGAGATACTTCACAAGATTACTAAGCTAAGGTTTCCACTAAGCATGTATTTTGTATGTGCCGAATAATACGAACAATGTAATGATGATTGTATGAGAGAAAAAATCTTAAAACCAAAATCTAAATTAAATTGTAAGTGTCTGAAAATGATCTCTATTTCTCACTAGTTTCGTCTCACATTATGACTAGCAAACTATGAAATACTTCACTTACCTGTGTATCAGCTTCTACTTTTATTTTAAATTAGCATTTTCACTTACAACCGAACTAACAAAAATTTACAATATTGTGGTAAACCATAATATATGTTTAAGAAACTCCCATTGCAAAATCTACATATTATACAAAATTCACAGTGAGAATCAAGCTTCATTAAGTTTAGAAGCAGGCTGGGTTGACAGTTACATAATGTTCAGCTTTTTTGTGGGGGGGGGGAAATGTTATGAAATTGATAACGTAAATGAACCTATCAAAATATTTAAATTATCTCTCAGTGAGTAGAAATTCGAAACACAACCTATATCATCTGGCTTTAATACAAGTACATTTTATAAAATCAAAATTTTATTTTTTTATTTCGATTACTTAACTAAGTGGTTAAATTATTTTGTATAAATTGTTATAAATATTTGTAGTGGTCTTTTTGTGAGTGAATACATTTGTGCACATAGAAAAATATATTCATAAACGAAAACTATGTGAGTGGTGTGAGAACAATGATAGTTTAAATGTTACTTATACAAAAATAAACTAAAATTATTGTAAAATATCACCACGATTAATTGATATCTGAAAATATGAAATCGTGTCAGTTGAACGAGTATTTTCCTTCGTGTAATAAAAGTCATATTTGATTTTGGTTTTATTACATTCAGGTAAGTATTATCCTCATTTCTTTTTGTATCAAATATGATTTCAAAATATTCAAACCAAGACATCGTTTTCTAAGTATTTAAATGTTGGTTGCAATTCTATAGTGTTACTATTTGAACTAATATAATTGTGCATAAACTATGTTTTACATATTTCCTTACTATCATCTACTTGACCCTTTCATCTTATATGTCACAACCAATATTAGGCCTTACAAAAGGTTGACCATCCCAATATTGACAGAATATGTGATTTTTTTATGACTTGGAAAACAAAGCTGAAGTTTTCTTACTAAACAACGGTTCTGTGATAGTTTAGAGCCTCCTTTGTTGGTATTGTAGACCTTAAAAATACAATAATTTGAATTTCTATTAAACTAATCAACCAATTAGTAAAGCTTATTTTCTCTCATCCCTTTCTATTTTGGAATGAACATACACTATAACAGTCTAACAAAACATCTTGCTGTAAATTGGTGATTTAGTGAGTCGCTGGCTCAAAATCAGTGGAAGGCACAAAGTAGTGATGTCGTGGTTTCGGGTCCTGGTACCTAGCACTACTTTTTACCATTACAGTCCGTCTTTGCACTGTACCGGTTTGTCCCTTGCTTTGCTGGATACGTTCAATCACAGAGAATATACCATTGGTGGTCTATTGTCCGTGGTCCCACCCACAGGACTAAGGCTTATGTAGACGGGCAATAGCTAAACGTAAAGATGTAGCCAAACTCTTAAAATTAAGAAACAAAATAAAAATCTATATTTATAAATAACAACCTCTGAAACGCCAAAGTCAAAAAAGGTAACATGATTTTCACATATTATTTCACATTTAAAAAATATCCCTGCAGCCATAAATGTCTTCAATATGTTCACGCATTTTTCAGTCACATCTCACAATGTTCGAAGTGATAACAAGAGATGTTTGGCAAGCTGAGGTCACTTTTGACGAACAACCACTTGAACGACCCGCAGGCCATGTATTCTACACCTTGACCGACTGTTCGCCATGCTTCGGAGTTGATCAATGTGCCGCCACCTTGAGGGCACTGCAGAGGCGATATGTGATGATCAAACAGATGATCGACATACCGTACAAGTGAGCTGATCTGGTTTACGTTTAAAGTACGATGTGTTTGAAAATGAATATAGAAAATATTCACGATGGATCACCTCGCATTAGATAGATATACTTTTACTTGATAGGTTAACATGAGATGGACTCCGAACCACTGGCCATTACCAGATACAAGGGTAAAAAATATCTCATAGTTTGGTAATCCTGTTTTCTTTACTCCATTGTCAGTCAGTATATGCTTTGTTGTCCACAAGGTTTAGTCTTATCGGGGATTTATTTTGAGCGCCTGGTACAACGCTCTAACCACTAAACCAACCTTGTTTTATAAGAAATGACGTCCATATAATGCGAAAGAACATTCACAAAGTTTGGCCTAAAAGATATTGAGTTAAGTTTTTATTAAGGGTAGTTTTGAACACAGTAATTTTAAGGTAACTCAGTCTCAAATGCTAGTTGCATCGAACATTTACATATATTGTGTACTTTGAAAGAGGCCACGATATGTTAGGAACCTCAATGTAACGAAGCAATTGACATACTATGAAAGGTTTATTTTATTTTAGTTACTGACTTGAAGTTGAAACAGTTTCACGATATACCAACATAATAATGCTTACTAAACTGAATGTATTCATATTCAGGCTAGTCATGTATAAAAGTTCTTTTACACCTGTTAAACAGTTGCAACGTTTACATGCTGCTTGATAATTTTGCTACTGAAAATTGTACTATAATTTATTAGACCTTTAACTTCCATTTTCCCATGCGCAGTTTCATGATAGGCGGGGATGGGAGAGTGTATGAGGGCCGTGGATGGGGCATCGCCCCCGACCTGCCCAAAAGAATCCAAAACTTCGAGGACAATGCTTTCAATTTGCTCTTCATGATGAACAACATTGGAGGTATGAAAAATAAAACTATTATACATTTGTTTGCTGTTGTGTTACCTAAAGAATTATTCAATGTAGTGAAAGATTAACGAAAAGATTATGAAAGATGTGAAAATTTACATTATGTCATGCGTTGTTTCGATTTTGGATTATATAGGTGTTTTAACAGAAGCATAGTTTTATATTCTTAATCATAGTTAAATTTTAAATATACTTATAATAAATATTTATTTCACTAAAACTACAATTTAAAGGGTGAAGACAATAACACTTAAAGTACTCGTCTTAGCGATTGTTGATACGTGTGTTATTTAATCAGAAGAAAAGAAATATCTCATTAAACAATTAAAATCACGTACGACAGTGTTTTTGTTTGGATAATATTTCTTTGGTTTTAAATTATTTGAAACAAAAAAATCTATAAGAAAATAAAAAAAAGTAAAAGATAACTGTACAATATTTTATTACTAATTTATTTTTTCATCAATCACCTTGTATGTTGCAGAACCCGTTCCTAGAGCAATGCTTGAGATAAAGGACGAAATTATTAAGTACGGCATCCAACATGATTTGATTGTAAGACTACCAAAACTGCATAAACCTATCAGACAGGTGTTGTAGGGTAGCTGTGTATACTCAGTGATACAGAGGGGCTGAAAATTTTATAACATGTTCTAGCTTTCCGTACTTATAGAACTGGACTGTTCGTGAAACCATCGTCTTCATACGAATAATAAATCGTTATCAAATTTACAGAATATTATCGATTTCTAAGTCTCTCCGAAATTGGTATTTCGAGGGTTAACTATTTCATTTTGATATGTGTAATGTAAAACAGACTGTTAAAACTATACGAAAAAAAAATTAAATTAGTTTATGTTGTTAATTAATATTTTCGTTCAAATTTTCGTTCAATTTTTATCACATAATCGTCTATGAAATAACGAACAGCTGTTCGGATCAAGATTATGTCTATTTGCCATTGATCATGGGCAAAGATAGTCTAAGATAAAATTTATGGTTACTATACAAATTTGTATGGACGAGGGAATGAGTTTAATTACTTAAGACAGTAAGTGCTATTCAAGTTAAATTTATGACTTTTGATGATCATAGAAACTTACCCAAGGGTGTTCTAAGCTTAAAATGAAATTGGAAGCCAAACCTACTTCTAACTGCTATTGTTTTTCTTTTGCCGTTGTTTTTGTTTTTCAAAATTATTGTGTATTGGGTTAAACATAATTAAGAGTCATTCGAGGCTATCGATCTTCTTGTGTGATTTTTAACAGCTGCTGAAGAGTTAATTATCATCAAAACATATTTTTCCAAGCACCAAAGTGACTGTAATTTAAATATCTAGGACATGGTGGGAGTAAAAATGTTCTTTGTAGTTTTATATTGTTTTCCAAGAGAGTCCATGGAAGCAAACGGCCATCTTGGGTTGGCCCGCCATAAGAGCAATGTTAATTTCGTTAATTTCAAACAGTTGCCGGAGATTTATTTACCCTCTCAAAATATTTTTTTTCAAATACGAAAGTGATTGTAATTTAAATATTTAGTGCACTGTGAGATTATAAATTGTTTTTGTAGTTTTTGTAACTGTTTTATGAGTTAGAACGTTTAGCTAAGGACTCTTAAACATGAATCCAATACCCAACCCAGAATAACTTCAGAACGTGTGACCTCCCCCACTGTTAAGCCCTTGTGTATTAAAAGTTCTTTAAGTCTGTAAAAGTGTTAACCAACTTCATGTAGTTCCAACAACTAAAGAAATTTTTTATTGTATAACTTCTGGATATTCGTATCACATAAACGTCTATTGGTTGGTTTTATTGCAAGTATTTTGAACATTGAAATCTTTACCACGTTGTAATGGTACTGGAAAATTGTGAAACGTTCTACTATTGTTATTTACGGTTTTATCTTATGTATATGTGTTTATAAGTACCATTAAATAAAATATAGAAAAAGATATTATTATTATTATTTTCACTTTTGTGATTTTTTCTTTGGTTATTTATTTTTATTTCGGTTATTTATAATGTTTATAATGAATATTATAAATCTTTTTTATAAAGGTAAATTTTAAATGTTTACTAAACTTTATGAAGATTTTTATCGCTACGTCCAATAACGATAATAGTTGTCGAACAAAGTATTAGCTATAACATACGACGCCGGTGTTAAAAGCTGGTAGGTTATAGCTTTAGAGGAACTTACCTTAATGACATTTTGATGGTTATTTTAGACCTAACCAGTCAGCAGCTCGACAAGTGCCGGCCATTAAACTAAGATCCATCCCATATAAACACTTACTTACGTTCCTTGTGCAGTGTTTATAGCCCTTATAAACTATATGTGTAAAAGTACTAATGAAAAAAGTTTTGCATAATGAATACTTATATTGTTTCATGTATTATGGAATTGGGGTTATTTAAATGGGTAAATAGACAATCGTAGGAGTTTTAAGAGGGGAATTGTCTTTGAAATCAGTATATACTTTCTTAAATCGTAAACAATGAGAAGGTTTGAATATTTTATTTTACTTAAAACTTAATTGTGTATATTTTGAATACATTTAATTGATTATGTCCTACCTTCACGATGCTAGTTCCAGCCCGGAACAGTTTTGCACATTGCTCCAGGTTAGTCCTAGTGGGTTGCAGCATTATTACATGGTAAAATCCATTGGTGATTTGCGGGATTTGAACCCAAGACCTCGGGCACCGAGGCCCCTAAGCCAGTACCTGTTACTGTTTGAGAATCAGACAGCGACCAAAGAATTAACATTTTTAATTCTGTGGTCGCTGGACTTAGATGATAATTGATTTAAGTTATAGTTTATGTAACAGCTTTGTTTTATTTTTATCTGCCCTCGATCCTTACCTGATTTCATACCCCTGTTTCTCCATATACGTAAAATAGTTAATAACTTGGTGCAAATATTTTTTACCTTGTACCTTAATTTAAAATTATTTTCTATCAACGAAGAATATTTTACCAATAGTTAGGTAGAGGATTTTTTAAAGAATTGTTCAATACTGTAAACAACAGTACCATCGAGGGAGAAAAAAGTTAAATTTTCAAATATGTAGTTTCAACCATAAATAACTTCGATGAGATTGTAAAATGGAGGCAATCGCGAGACGAAATCAGATTTCGCTTCGAAACGGATCAGCTTTTACTGATTACATTCGTCAAACGGTCCACCATAGTTCGATTTCTTTTAACTTTATTGTTTCTGATCGGGGCATTCATAAGTGAAAACAGGGTTTGGTGTAAACAAACAAAATGTGTTTCTGTGAATGTCTATACTTAGGTGATAAAGGATAAAGGGTGTATACAGTAATAGTCAGGTATTCTCAGTGTTACCACAAGTTCGTTGAGGTACATTTATACACATTACATCTTTATTCCAATTTAAATCAAACACAGTATATTCAATTTACAGTTTTGAATTAATATACTTTAAAATATCGACAATTTGAATATTAATATTTATTTTAGTAAGGCACCAGTGCCTTAAAAGCTTCTACGAGTGTCGAAAAAGGATTAGGTTCGCATAATGCTAGCGGCACACCGTACTATAAATACTGTTTCAGGTAAAAGTAGTAAATAATTACAAATCTTTGAGCAATACTGGATAGTTTATTACAACATTTAAATCAAAATTAAGGAAATTTTAAAATCTCCCTTATTTTTATTATTACTGTCAGTAATGGATAATCAATAGCAATTTTTGCACATATATTATTTCAAATTAAACACTCAACGATTCTTTGGTTTATATGGAAATGTAAAAAAATAATACAATCCGTCTGACTCTTACTTTTATGGCGTCTATTTCACTACAACTATAAGAAATTTTCAAAATCTTGCAATACACTTTTCTGCAACTGTTGGTTAGAAGGATTATTTGATGTTTTGTCGAAGGTCAGCTGATCAACAATTACTTCTAAAATTTGAATTGAAAAAGGCTAGTTGTCAAAACAGTTACGAGTTAAAAAAATGTGTAATATTAATTATATTCAGTTACGTCTAGTTTAGTGTTATGAGAGAGAGAACTTCTCACCTTTTTGATGGGTTCAATTCCTGCTATTTAAATATTGTTATTTACTATGTAATGATGCTGTGACCGAGTGACTCGGAACCCATTCGGAAACAGGATTATGCAGTGGAATGACACAGATCTCTTGGTACAAAATTGGTATCTTTATTTAACATCTCTCTCCTTTGAATACATAAAATATACTGATGTTTCCAAGTTTATTGATAGTAAAAAATGTATTTTACAGAGTTTTTATAAACAGTGGTTTATTATTCTATTTGCTCGACAATGGAAATGGCTATAAAAACAGAATAATGGTTGTAGAGGTACTGTAAAATAAGTATGTAAAATAAGCTGTAAAACTGTAACTAAAATAATTTTCTATAAAAAAAACTAAACATAATAAACATATAAATGTATAAGAGTTATATAAATTTGACTACTTTATAAAGATACATAAAGATTATATTTTATCAACGAAGCCATAAAGACTTAACATGGCAAAACGTGTGCTTTCTACAGCATAATAATTTATAAATGCACATAAACAACCGTACTAAAAGACTATCAACTTCATGACCGAATTACGACTAAACTTTATTATGTTTCAACTAAAACATAAACAACCTGTTTGAAGAATATCATTATGTGGAACATATAAGCAATATTATGATCTCAGCTTTCAATTGTTTTTCATCAATGGTTCTAAAACGTATACGACTCTACTCAATTCAATTATTTTATAAAATTAAGTTGGCACATAACACAAATAAAGAATTTAAATGACTATATTATAAAATATGTGAACTAAAAACATTGCTATCACAATAGCTATTTGTGTAACTAGTGCGAAGTGGCACTTTGTGCACACGAAAGGAATGTTTACTAAAAAGCATATAAATAATTAGTCTTTCAAACACTGTACAACACGTTTTAGGCTGGATTAAATCCAAACATTTAACGAAATGGGAAACGCTGCCCCAGCTGATCGTATTCGTTGTATCTTAAAGTGTTGCCAGCCTATTTCCAATTAAAAAAGTATTAAAAGTATTTCCAAGCGTACACGGATAACGTGGATAATAAAAAACCGGTGGTTTTGTTTTGTATGGTTGTAATACTGGTGTCCGACAAAGTAAAAACTGTGCGACAAATTAAAAAGTGTGCGCCAAAGTAAGTAAATGCAGAAATTAGGAGCTTTATGCATTATAATCAATGCAAGGAAGCCCACCTTTGTCGGGTGACTGTAGGAAAATAATATTGCATCACGTTACCAACTTAAACTCAAGAAAAATCATATTTATAATATGACTGGTTTAAACACCATGAACTCCAAAAGTATGATACAAACACAATTTAAATTGATTTCTGTTCTCAAAAATATTTTTGTATGGTTGACTTTGTGAATAATCATAATATAGTTATAGTAGGCTAGCTTAGTCCCACTTCACCATGCACATCAATATTCTTCCAAGTCACCTTCACCGACGGGCATTCCGGAGGGTGAATTCTGTTACCTTCGCGGATATTAAATCGTTGTATACTCCGTACTTAATGAGGTTGTCTTGTGCGTCGAGCATACAAGGGGGTGGTGAATCACCTGCGAAAACATACTTTATTGACTCAAACATACAAACATACAACATATTTTTAATAACGCTTACATTAAAATTGTTTTTATGTATTTTACATACAGCATAAACTGAAAAACTTGGTTAAATATACTGTAATGATGTTTGGTAAATTTTAACTTGAATAATAGGTCTATAAAGGGTTTGGGTTATTATTCCCGTAAATGATCAAAATCATTGTTGCAAAATGTACAAAGTGAAGCTTGTGTTTGTACACTACCCAGATTTAATCAACAATTCTTGGTCGCTACAAATGTCATGGTGTTGATGCCATTCTTTTTCTTTGATTTGGGAAAGACTATAAAATGATTCAAAAAGTTGGAGATGGTTAGAAGGCTAATCATAAAAGAACGATAAAAAGAAAGTGAAATAAAGTAAAACAAAATATCATAAATTGAAATAACATCAATTACAAAAAATAATACAATATCGAATGAAAAGGTTCGGAACGGTCTAGATTAGAATTGAATGTAATAAAAACAGAATTCAATAAGAAAAATCAAGGTGGATTAAGACAGTAAACATCAAAACCGAACGTTATTGATAGTAAAATGTTAAATGTAACTAAAAGTACGTATGTAAGTCGTTGTACCAATAGTCATATGTTGATATAAAGCGTTTAACGAAAATTAATAAGCCCTGTACCTGCATACACGTATTACGTGCCTAATACAAAACACTATTTTGTGTTTTTTGTTGAAATACTGGAGTGCGGGAAAGTAAACTGAGTGCGGCTAAGTAAAATGAGTGCGGAAAATTAAGTAATACAGGAATTGGCCACTTTGCGTGCTATAATAAATTCAAGAAAGCGATGTAAGGTGACTGACTGTAGGGACAATATATTTCCTTACCTCTTAGCCCCCCGATGAAGGCAATGTATATGCTACTCCTGCCAAACTTTGTGTATCTAAAGGGGAGGGTGGGTTGTACTGTCCAGCCCCTTCCTTGGTACACTCGTCCATCTCCTCCTATCAGGAAACTGCAAAACATCTGCTGTCTGTTAACTTACGTTGGGTGTAAAAAGATCAGGAAAGTTGCCCTCGAAGATAGGGTTGAACCGTGATGATTGAAGAAGGGAGAGGAGCTAAGCTGTGAGAGTGAATCTTAAAAACAAATCTTTCCACATAAGAGCCGAAACTATAGTTGCGTTTGCAACAAAATTTGATTGCCTAGTAGCACGTATTTAAACCTTTTTTAAAAAAGAATCGAGACTGGTTACCAGAGAGATTCAATAACGGCATACTCTTAAAATTATAATTTCGACTATGTCTAAGTAGACAACTTTTGAAACTATAAAAGAGTCTAGTATTGCTTGGTTTAATTTTAAAACTTCGAATCATTGACAGTTTTCGTTCATATTTTAGATGGGTTTTTAGTGCAGTTGAGCAAAAACAAGAAAGTACTTTATAGCAATAAACCTGGTTTGGGCAAGTTTTTCCTGTTTCCAGATGTAAGTATCATCCATTTTGAAGGTAATAAAACTTTGCAGAAATGTTTTAATTATAATTAAAATAAGGATATCTTATAAAGTATATAAATGAATTCCAAGTTATATGGAATATAATGTGTGATAGTCATCAGACCCAAAGGTGAACCGTGAAGGTCATTTGCCTATTGGGCATGATAATGATGAGGATCCAATAAAAATCTGTCACTATTACCAATTTTTCATATACACTTATATTTAAAGTCTCGTTAAAACAGTAGAAGTGTAAATAAATGTTTCAAAAGAGTTATTAGACTATTTATTACCTGTTATTAGATTTTTATCTCGTGATCGTATATTTATCTATGTGATTCAACAATTGGTTGGAATGAAATTAAAGAGCCTAGTTTAATTTGTAAAAATGGTTCACAAGCGACAAACCAGTTCAAACGATTTATCCTTTAAGATAAACGTCCACTCTTTTTGCAGGGAATGAAAATACACATTTCGTTACACGAGTCCAATAGCACCGAATTCCACACCACCAAACACAAAATTAATCTCAATCCTCCGAATCCCATAGCTCCGAATTATTTGGATACTATGGGACGCCACTATTTAAAATCCCACTGCACCGAATCATAAATTTTGTCTCATAACACCGAACCTTTCAAACTCCTCATTATATTTCCTGTTCCGGTGACGACATCAGCGCATGCGCACGTCCCTCGTCACGCCTCACTGTGTACTTACTTGTATCTTATATCTGCCAAGTAGCCCGGCAGCTCTTGCATGTGTTGTAGTTGCAGTTGACAGATCAAATCTGAACAGCTGTCTGTATCACTACAAGTCCGTGTGTTTGTGGACGTGAAGAAGACGGAAGTAACTGGACTGTGTATCCGTTTCCGGTGGACCACATGGGCAGCTTTCCATGTTTGACGTGGGATAACCGGCATTTGGGTATTATATTCCATCTGTGGAAAAAGTGTATTTTGGATTTGTTTTGTTTAAGAAACACATAAATAAATATATGAAGGTAGGTATTAAGCCAAGTATGAAAGAGATGAGTGGCACGATCAAGACCGACATTTTCCTTAGACAGGGACAGGACTGCTATTTAATAGCCCATACAGCCAATGGCAACTAAGGGACCTACAGTTTATAGTGTAATCCGAATTGGTCTAATTATCAAGATAGTACTGCGGATAGCCGTAGTACTCAATAGTACGGGTATTAAACCATCGTTGTAAAAGAAAGATTGTGTCAGAGCACGTACAGTCTTATTTTCAATCATATGGCAAAACAAAAGCAGGAAACGTCACTGAATCTTGCATCTTTAATGCAGTTTTTATCATGATTGTACATAATTATCGTTTTAATAGTATTATTTAAATTATATATGCGTTTATTTATCAACACGGTTATAGTCATCGTGGTTAAAATGCAACACTTGGCGTTTATTTTGAAAACTATAATGTCCAGTATTGTTGAATAGAAATTTCACATCGCCTCATGCGGTACAAGTTATGTGACACATGCGTGTAAGTAACCCATCGCTTTCAATACATTTTCAATACATTTTTCATATATAAGTACAATATATTCTACAAGAAGACATCAAATGACATGGCTTTCAACGAAATATGCAACATCCAACCTTTTATTTTAATCCAACCTTTGTGCGCCTGTGCGGCCCTTTGAAGGCTGATTAAAAGAGGATGTAATGTATTTTATCAACAATTTAGGATTTGAAAACCTAATATATAAGTATATACAATAGTAAATGTTTAAATAATGAAAGTATTTAAAAATACCTAAGCAATATATCTTGTTGAAAACCCATCCTATCTTACAACAATATGTTTCAACCATTAAAAAATCACATTTTAGTCATATGTTAGGAGGAACTAAAAAGTATGTTTGTTTAATGAGTAATAATTATAATTTATCTGTAACTTTGATTATCTATGGAATAAAGCAACAAGCTATAAACTATGGAGGTAATGCTATTTTAATTTCATTAAATCATGAATTTATAAAATACTAACAAAAAATTATGGTTATTTTCGTTCAGCCTGTAAAACTATGTACGGTATAATTGACTTAAAATAATTATAATAAATACTTACTCCTATATGGCCGTAGCTCTTTTGAGAAATTTTTATACATTATCGTTAGCCAAACAACATTTTAACCTGTACTTTTAAACTAATAAAGTAAATAAGACTTTTAACCCGTCATTTCCAATTACTATTTCCAATTACTATCCACAATTTTTTTGTTTGTATTATCTTTTAAAAGTCAGTTACGTACATAGTGAGGTAATACTATTTTAAAACATGAGATAATACAACAGTTTTAGAAATTCTTGCCACAATAATAGATAACATACCACATCTTAACAATAAGGAAGTAGCCTATGTTTAACATTATTTATCATAATAAAAGAGACAATGTATTAGATCTGATGCTCTTAATATTTCTCCAGGGAGCGAGCTGGTCTAGTGGTAAGAGCGCGATACTTCGGCTCCAGAGGTCCCGGGTTCAAATCCCGCAAATCACAAATGGATTACACCTAAGTGATAATGCTGCAACCCCTAGGTCAAGCCTGAAGTAATGTGAAAAACAATTTCGGGCTTGTGCCTAGCGTCCTAGGACAAAAAAATTTATTTCACCATAGTAAGAAATGTTTTTATTACTGTTCATTTTTAAGACGTTATCATTAAAACTAACCTTCTAGTGTCAACAGTTATACCATTTAGAAATAATTTGAGGCTATGTTTAACCACTTTCCCAAAAACCACAGATCGCGGGGTTTTGGTCTTCGAGGGCCCGTGTTCAAATTCGCACTTTCTTTGGCTAACAATGTCGCATCCCTCTACAATTTGCATGTCACAGGTTTATCTAAGCTTGAAGTAATAGAAAATAACAATAACAATAGACTAGTAACAATAGACTAGAGCATGCATCCTATAATGAAGTGGATCATGAAAAAATCATCTTTCCCTAGATGTCATAAAACACGATATTGTTCAAATAAATGTCGTCAAGCTATTGCATTAAAGAAAACGTAAGTTATAATAAGGTTGAGATAAAATCTCGTTAGCTTGTTTCTGTGGAGACAATAACAAGTCAACATAAAATAAAATACCGCCGCGCCTTGCGTCGTGTAAGTGCTTTGTCCCTCCTTTGATATACAACTCGGTACATCCTATATGAACCTAACCATCGCAATTCCTCTTGCACGAGCTCGAAATAAATACTGTAATCCTATTTATATTTTGATTTATTTATCCGCACACTATACTTATCTGGTTACTTGAAGGTTACCAGTTCGATCTTGAGATAATTGAAACTATTTTTATGGTCTAAACTATATCCAACTGTCCTTGGGCACTAATAATCCTGCCGAAAGAAGCTTTTAGAATTTGCTTTTGAGATGGGTACGCCAACCGAACCAGGTGCGTATTTTGACCTAAATATGAGTGAAGGATGAGTGTAGAATGGAGTGAGATGATTTGTGTATGTTGTTTTGTTGCTGACTATGATCAGCTGTTTCATTAGGGATAGCTGGGTCCGTTTTACGAGTATTTCATGCCATTATTTGAAACCACATTGTTTCAGTTTTATTTTGCAGCATGCTAGTATATTACAGCTTAATTAATACGACTACTATTTAAGTAGATTTAGCAACATGTACGATGTAAATTTATCATCTCTACTTAATTTAACTGAGAACCAAATTAAAGTATCGTACCTGACACAGCTAAGTATTCTGTGATGGAAGCTTTAGCAGGCTGCCAACTACTCCGCTCCTATTCTCTTCCTTTTCTTCGCCAAGAAGTGCTGCCAACTCCGTGTCTGATAATAAGACATCTTGTCGGTTGTAGGGAATAAAGAAGCCTTTATTGTTACTTGTGAATTCTTAAATGCTAATGAGGTTGTCGGGTGAAGTGTGATTATATGAATCTTTTGCTAAAATGTTAAAGCGATTTTAGGCAACGTTTGAGTAATTATTATGGTCCATCCAATCGAAAGAAATTTTTTAAACAAACATCGCAGCTAGATACAGTGTTATTTAGTTAAACAAACGTCTTTTTATCTTTTACCCTCCTTAAAAATCCTTATAATTCCACTTGTCATATGATGAGGCTTTTTAAACAGTTGTAGGGTCTTTATTTTTCAACTTTTGATCTTTAACAGTCAATTAGTGAAGAAGATATGCAATAATTTTATAAGATTTAAATGATAAGTTCTGACACTGAAGTTCCCCATCGTATTAATCATACAGGGTGAGTTTTAATTACCCCCCCCCCCCCAACTGTTTTCTAATTATTTTCAAATATCAATCGCAGACCACTTCCAGACATTGTTGGGTAGTAAGTACTTAATTTTGACAAGGTGGTCATTTCCGGCCACCTTCTTGAATTCACTACATTGGATGCTATTTTTCAGATGTAAAGGTGGAGTTGTGACCCATTATTTCAAACTAGATTTTTACCTGAATTGCGCCAAGTACTCTAGGTAGCCATCCGATACGTTTATTAACAAAGTGGCGGCCCTCTTTTACTGTATAATTGAGTAGGTTAGGTTGAGATAGGTTAGGTTAGGATAGTATATGTTAGAATGACCCGTAAACAAGGTCTTCCTTCTGCCGGCAACGCAACCCTTGGGCTTTGGCGCAACTAAGGAACCTTTTGGTGCAATTAATGCACGACCACGATTTCGTCCTAGAAAACCTTTTCTCGTATTAGTTTTTCACTTACTGGACACTTGGTTTAAGCAGTTACATTTTTGTAAGCTTAAGACAAATCTATACAGGTAAAGAAAATTAGCTTCGATAGTCAAGAGGTACAATTTCAAATATATATTTTTGATTTATATCTAAATATCCTACATTACTTAAGTCCAATAAACATGTTCAACATCATAAACATTTATAATGATACATTTAAAAGTTGATGGTGTTTTAAAAAACAATTTTTGTGATTTTAAGATGATAACAGTTTTAGGATGTACGTTGTATCTGTTTATTTCCGTTTACCTCGTATCTCAGTTGACTTCCGTTTCCGTCAACAGCTGATCCACGGCCTGTTAGATTGCCTGGGTTTAACTGGAAACGTCACACATAAATCTATGTTTGTAAACCTGGATTTTATTATACCTGTAAAACATTTAATATTATATAATGTTTTAAACTTAAATAATGCATCACTATATGTATAATGCCCATTATACAACGATATTATTGTATCTTCTATTCATTTCCATATGAAGCGAAGGTAAACATATAGTAGCTGTTTGGCAAGAGTTCATGTATAATTTAGCATTTACCGTTAAGTTTTATGTGCATGTATTTAATATTAAATGTATCACATGTTAGAGCACATTAAAAAACTTCTAAAATTAAATTAAAATAGAGTAAAAACTATATACTATGAAAACTAAATTAAATGTCTATCATAGAGTTAGATAAAGATAGGTACCTAAATTTTTTTCAATATTCCTTAAAATTATAACAGAAATCTAATGCATTATAATACCATAGTAAGATTTTAAACTTACTCAAATCCTAAATATCCTATATATTCTACAAGCTTTTAAAACAGCAGACTCTCGTGCTTTGCTACTCAATAATTATAATTGAACTATAAATCTTAGAACATACATCTCTCCTGTTTTACCTGTAAAATAAAAAGATTTATTTTTGAAATCCTTATTTTTAGCAGAAGCACGACTGTATGAGAAAGTATTTCACGGGTTATTGCCAGGTAGGTTGTTGTAACGAGATAACATAAAATACAACGCTCCAAAACAAGCGAAGAGTACAACAGGGGCGCAGCTTTACTGCTTCATATTTTATCTTCAATAATGCCTTGCTCGATAAACTTATTTCACACTTCCATGTAAATTGCTAAGAACGCAATTAATATTTCGTCCAATGTTAACGAGACTCAATGTGGTGTTTATGCCGCATAAAGAGTAATAATTTTACATTAAAAGTAAGTCGTAGAATTTATGCCAAGAAATGTTTGTAATTAAGTTTCTAGCTGTGATTCCAGTATCTAAAAAATCAACTGAGTTAGTTATAAGAATTGTCAAAATTTAAGGAACACAGACTTATAGAAAACAAAAAATATACCTTCAATACATAGGACTACATTGTTAAGTTTGTGAAAAAACATGGCGAGTCTTCTATACAATGAATCCTCAACCTCTTAGATACCTATGCAACAATGCATAAGTTGATCGGTAATGAAGTAAAGAAAACAGGGATACCAACATATGAGCTGGTTTTGTATTTGAAAAGTGTCTCACTGTAGTTATAATTATTTTAGTTGCGTGGAAAACACCCTGTATAAAAACTAAAAAAGATCTAGTTAGTACTGTAGTAAGGATGAGATATAGGTCTAGAGCTTCTAAGAGCCTAAATACAAGGTACTGTAATCAAAGCCTGTAATGGTATCAATGCATTAATCCTCTTGTGGCAGTCTGGTCAATGGAGCTTAGTGATCTGTACCTTCTGTCCTCTAATCTATTAGACCTTGTAGTATTGCAGTTGGAGTGTATGGTTGCTTATAGACTTCAATGTTCATTCGCCAAAATGATTTAAAATATTGAAAATGAAATGAAAATGAAGTTACGATTTTCCCGAACAAAAAACAACTTTTAGCGAATTTAGTAGTATATATATCCTCTACCTTAACTACTACTACTATAGTTTGTTGTTGAGCGGTGTTTGGGCGTTGTCCGAGTTGGTGGCTATACTCGCTGTGCCTAGCGGTCTCTTTGGCTAATGTGATATTAGGATATTGCTGTGTGCTGTCGACCTTGTCTGGGTCGCTTGATCTCAGCGCTGTTGGAGATGGAAAGTAAGCGTTGTCAATATTGCCTTGGTATACCTTGAGAGATTTGGTTGGGAGTAAAAAATAAGACTAAAGTAAAAGAAAAAAACTTACTTTATTGTTAGTAGTAGAGTGATCACACAAATTAATGTTTAAAAGTATTTATAAAGCACATAGAATGATCATTGAGAGAACATTGGTTAACATGTTGTATTTTGAGTAAAAGCGATTGGTGTAAAACTGACTCAACTTGAAGAATCCTTTGTCTGAAACGATATCGGTCCAATAAGCTGGTACACCTCCGATCTTCGTAGTTGGAGAAGTAAAACGTAGTGTCAAGGGGATTCGAAAAGGTGAGTTCCTTTTTGTGAGACATGCTGCA